TGCAGATCCACAGAGACTCACAGAGACCCACACTCATAGAGACCCACATTCAGAGACCTACACTCAGAGAGACCCACAGAGACCCATACTCATAGAGACCCACAGAGACCCATACTCAGAGACCCACGGAGATCCACACTCATAGAGACCCACAGAGACCCACATTCATAGGGACCCACAATCATAGAGACCCACATAGACCCACACTCATAGAGACCAACACTCATAGAGACCCACATAGACCCACACTCATAGAGAACCACACTCATAGAGACTCATAGAGACCCACACTCATAGAGACCCACACTCATAGAGAACCACACTCATAGACCCACACAGACCCACAGAGACCCACAGAGACCCACAGAGACCCACACAGACCCACCCTCACAGAGACCCACACAGACCCAGACCCACAGAGACCCACAGAGACCCACACAGACCCAGACCCACAGAGACCCACACAGACCCACATCCACAGAGACCCACAGAGACCCACACAGACCCACCCTCACAGAGACCCACACAGACCCACATCCACAGAGACCCACAGAGACCCACACAGACCCAGACTCACAGAGACCCACACAGACCCACACCCACAGAGACCCACAGAGACCCACACAGACCCAGACCCACAGAGACCCACAGAGACCCACACAGACCCAGACCCACAGAGACCCACACAGACCCACATCCACAGAGACCCACAGAGACCCACACAGACCCACACCCACAGAGACCCACACAGACCCACACCCACAGAGACCCACAGAGACCCACACAGACCCAGACCCACAGAGACCCACACAGACCCACACAGACCCACAACTCACAGAGACCCACAGAGACCCACAGAGACCCACACAGACCCACACTCACAGAGACCCACAGAGACCCAGAATCACAGAGACCCACAGAGACCCAGAATCAGTATTTATACTGCAGGAGGGATCCTCAGCACTATAAAGCTCTTTTGTCTCAGATGTCCAGTAGGAGGCACAGCGTTACAACAACAAGAAACACAATTACGACAGTAGTTCAAATTACAAATACAATAACTAAACCATCCTCCATCCTACCAGGCAAAGCCCCGCTGAGCTAATTAACTTATTTGTTCAGAAGCCACCCTTGACATCGCCAAATTGATAGCAGCTCAACAAAGTGGCCCCATCGTTTGGGACATTCATAGCAGCCAAAATAATCAAAATAATCTCAACGCGTGACGTTCATTCTGAATGTGGTGGGAAAAAAGCTGAAAAAAATATCCACGCAGTGACCACCACGGGGAGAGAGAGAGAGAGACGCAGACTCCAAATATTCAGCAGCAGCGGCATGCATGGTCAGTGGTCTGGATCAAACCCACGACCCCCTGCATACCGGGCGAGGTAGTCAACATCTCCTAGCCACTGTGGTGATGATGATGATGATGAGAGAGACGCAGACTCCAAATATACAGCAGCGGCGGGCATGGTCAGTGGTCTGGATCAAACCCACGACCCCCTGTATACCAGCCGAGGTAGTTAACATCTCCTAGCCACCGTGATGATGATGAGGGAGAGACACGCAAACTCCAAATATACAGCAGCGGCAGGCATGGTCAGTGGTCTGGATCAAATCGACGACCTCCTGTATACCGGGCGAGGTAGTTAACATCTAGCCACTGGTGATGATGATGATGAGAGAGACACGCAGACTCCAAATATACAGCAGCGGCGGGCATGGTCAGTGGTCTGGATCGAACCCACGACCCCGTGCATACCAGGCGAGGTAGTTAACATCTCATAGCTACCGTGATGATGATGAGGGAGAGACACGCAGACTCCAAATCTACAGCAGCAGCGGCGGGCATGGTCAGTGGCCGGGATCGAACCCACGACCCCCTGCATACCGGGCGAGGTAGTTAACATCTCCTAGCCACCGTGATGATGATGATGAGAGAGACACGCAGACTCCAAATATACAGCAGCAGCAGCGGCGGGCATGGTCAGTGGCCGGGATCGAACCCACGACCCCCGTGCATACCGGGGGCGGGAGAAGATAACATCACGCCACCACGATGACGAGAGAGAGAGAGAGGAGAGAGAGAGAGGAGAGAGAGAGAGGAGAGAGAGGAGAGAGAGAGAGGAGAGAGAGAAGAGAGAGGAGAGAGAGAGAAGAGAGAGAGGAGAGAGGTGAGAGAGGAGAGAGAGAGAAGAGAGAGGAGAGAGAAGAGAGGAGAGAGAGAGGAGAGAGAGGAGAGAGAGGAGAGAGAGGAGAGAGAGAGGAGAGAGAGAGAGGAGAGAGAGGAGAGAGAGAGGAGAGAGAGGAGAGAGACGCAAACACCAAATATGCAAAGAGGCGTCGTCAGTGGTCGCGGTCGGACCCACGACCTCCCCCCGTTCCCACCGCGGTGCCCCCTGAAATAAGCAAAGAAAGCCAGCGGCGCGGGTTCGAAGTCGCATCGTCAATTCCCAAGCCTGGGGGGAAAAGCGGGTTCACGGTCCCCGGACTTGGCCAAGATGGCAACAGCGGCGGCCTTCGAAACGGGGTCACGTGCCAAGGACGGCGTTACATTTCGATTCGAAGCTTTCGTGACTGCGGGGAATTCACGGTCTTTTTTTTCCTCGACGTTAAGGACGTTCATATATGCTTAGTTCTTTCGGTAAAGTCACCACGTTGAAGGGAAACAACAAAATAATAAAAAAAATATAAAACAATAAAAAAAATTCTCACGACGTTTCGACCATAACTCAAACGGTCGTCTTCAGGTGTGAATTTTTATTGTTTTATATATATTTTATTGTTTCCCTTCAACGTGACTTTACCGAAAAAACTAAGAATATGAATTACTGCAGTCACGAAAGCTTTAAATCAAAAGTTAAGGACGTTGTTAAGGGCGTTGAGAGAGGAGGAAAAAAACCCGGCACTTTTCGTCAAATGTCCTTGCTGTGGTTTTCGCACCTGATGATGATTGCTGCTTTGTGTTGCAGTCGAAACGTCGTGAGAATTTTTTATTGTTTGGTATTTTTATTATTTTATTGTTTCCCTTCTAACGTGGTGGTGACTTTACCGAAGGAACCAAGAATAATAATTTTATTGTTTTACAATAATTTTATTGTTTTATATATTTATATTATTTTAATATTTCCCTCCTACGTGGTGGTGGCGGTGGTGGTGACTTTACCGAAAGGACCCAGAACAAGGACGGCATTGTCGACCAAAAGTCAGGCAGAGCGCGTGGACCGTATCCAGCAGCGACCTCCTGCCTCCCGAGTAAAAAAAAATATAAAATAAAATTAGTTTTGGGGAGAGGGAGTATTCACGACATCGCAGGGGACCGTGGTTTTTTTTTTTGGCGTGTTCGCGTTTCATGATTTATTTAAATGCCGGTATCGAAGCTGTGAAAAAATAAGGAATTTTTGCGTGGGGTGGATGGGGTGGGGGAGGGGAGGTTTACCCTTTTCGTCTGCCGGCAATTAATGGGGAGCCGTGCTCAGATGTTCAAGTGGCCAACGTAGGGCGACGGCTTTTGCGAGGGTAAGCGGATCGCCGCTTTGACCACACACAACTCCTGGGTTACTGCCGTCCTGAATGGGGGGGGGGGGGGGGGTATAAAAACCTGCTCCGATTTTTATTTTTTTATTTTTCTTTCCCCCCCCCCCATCGGACGTACGATGCTCGGTGAAGAAGCGAAGTTGTGGTTCGTTGTTAAACCAGCCCATCGTCGTCGTCGTCATCGTCGCGTGGAAAACGTAGAGCACCGGGCAAATGCCCTCGCACGGCGTGACGTCGATTCTAAATGCGGTGCCCGCGACGGGGAGAGAGATAGAGAGAGAGAGAGACGCAGACACCAAATACACAGCAGCAGCAGCAGCAGCAGGCATTGTCAGGGTCACGGTGGTCGAACTCACGACTTCCTGTACACCGGGCGAGGGAGTCAACATCTGTCGGGGTCACGGGGTCGAACTCACGACCTCCTGTACACCGGGAGAGGGAGTCAACATCACTCAGGGTCACGGTGATCGAACTCACGACCTCTTGTACACCGGGCGAGGGAGTCAACATCTCTCAGGGTCCAGGGGTCGAACTCACGACCTCCTGTACACCGGGCGAGGTAGTCAACATATCTCGGGGTCACGGGGTCGAACTCACGACCTCCTGTACACCAGGCGAGGTAGTCAACATCTCTCAGGGTCACGGGGTCGAACTCACGACCTCCTGTACACCGGGCGAGGTAGTCAACATCTCTCGGGGTCACGGGGTCGAACTGACGACCTCCTGTACACCAGGCGAGGTAGTCAACATCTCTCAGGGTCACGGGGTCGAACTCACGACCTCCTGTACACCAGGCGAGGTAGTCAACATCTCTCAGGGTCACGGGGTCGAACTCACGACCTCCTGTACACCGGGCGAGGTAGTCAACATCTCTCAGGGTCACGGGGTCGAACTCACGACCTCCTGTACACCGGGCGAGGTAGTCAACATCTCTCGGGGTCACGGGGTCGAACTCACGACCTTCTGTACACCGGGCGAGGTAGCTAGATGTTATCTCTCTCGCCTGGTGTACAGGAGGTCGTGGGTTCGACCCCCGTGACCCTGCGAGATGTTAACTACCTCGCCTGGTATACAGGAAAGTCGGGGGTTCTATCCCAACTCTGCCAGTGCCTGTGTTGTATATTTGGAATGCACGTCTCTCTCTCTCTCTCCCTGCGGTCGCGTGGATTATTCTCCGGGTCCTCCGGTATTTCGCTCCACAACCCCACGCAGAAGACTGAGAATACAAACGCCACGCAGGACGGTGGGATACTGCTTGTTAACCACTCCCCCGTCCGTGTCCCCCTCTCTCTCATCCCTCTCTCTCATCCCTCTCTCTCATCCCTCTGTCTCATCCCTCTCTCTCTCATCCCTCTCTCTCTCATCCCTCTCTCCCATCCCTCTCTCTCATCCCTCTCTCCCACTCTCTCTCCCCCCATCTCTCCCCCTCCCACTGCCCCCCACGCCCCACCCACAGCCATGCACCGTGTCTGTGCGTGCCGCCTCTCCCCCATCCTCCCTTCCCTCTCCCCGCGCTCTCCCCTCCTCCCCCCTTCCCTCTCCTCCCTCTCCTCCTCCACTCACCGCCCTGGGGGGCTGGGAGCCCGAGGAGGCGGTGGAGGGGGGCGGCTCCGGGTGGCCTCCTCCTCCCAGCTCCGTAGCTTGAGCCTGGGGAGCGGTGGCGGAGGCGGTGGAGGCGGTGGAGGCGGTGGTGGAGGCGGTGCACTCCGCACCGCCGCCGCTCCGCTGTCGTCGCCCCTGGCTGCCGAGTCCTTCCTCAGCGGCAGCTCTTCCAACTACGTGGAGGAGATGTACTTAGCCTGGCACCGCGACCCGTCCAGCGTGCACAAGGTGGGTGGGTGGGGTGGGTATGGGTTGGGTCTCTGTGTGTGTCTCTCTCTCTGTGTCACCCTATGACGTCTCCTGGCCAAACCCCCGTTTGGCGGAGCCAGGAGATTGAATCTCTACCATCGGGGTTCCTCCAGAAGCAAACAGAAAGCCGCTTCGTGTGGCCACGTGGAATGTTCGAACGCTCACTGCGGAGGAGAGGCTGCCACTCCTCTGTCGGGAGCTGGACCGGTACCGCCTGGATCTCTGTGGCGTTCAGGAGGTCCGGTGGACCGGCTCTGGCTCCTGCCACCATGAGGGGTGAACAGTCCTATACTCGGGGCAGCAGACTGCCAAACAACAGGGTGTGGCTCTTCTTCTGAACAAAATAATGAAGGGCGGTGAGGTGTGGGAAGCTGTAAGCCCCAGGCTACTTTGGGCTCGCCTTCCCATCAACCGGAGGCGATGAGTGGTGGTCATGGTTACTTATGCCCCCACCGAATATGAACATCAGTGGAGGGATGCAGGCAAGGCCGATGAGTCGGATGCCTTCGATGACCTATCACAGGTGCTAGCTAAAGTGGCCGCTTGGGATAGAGTCATCTTGTTGGGTGGCTTCAATGCCCGAGTTGGTAATGATGCTGGCACCTGGTCTGGAGTGATTGGAGGGCATGGGCCGGATCAGCTCAATAACAACGGCAGGAGGCTGCTAGACTCCTGTGCAGCCCATGGGCTTGTAATTACCGACACGCTGTTGCAGCCTCAGCGCTTCCACACAACATCATGGATGCACGCCGGGTCCAAGCAAGAACATCTGCTGGACTACATTGTGACGGAACAGCGGATTCGGGGCCATGTTCTTGACACCAGGACCTACCGTGGAGATGATCTTCCCACTGACCATCGACTTGTCATCTGTAAGATGCGCCTGACATTCTTCCACTCCGGTGGTGGGTGTACACCCGGGACCCAATTCAAACCCACAGTGGACTTGTCTCAGCTGATGAAAGTTGCAAGCGAGAATTTCATCGTCGCTTGCGGCTGGGTTTGCATCGTCCCCCACTCCTCCTGATGTCGAGGGTAAATGGGCGAGGTTTTGGACTGTCACTCACGCAGCTGCAATGGCTGCTTTGGGTACGCGGTCCAGACCTCCCCTGAGACCCTGGCTGACGGAGGAGGTGTTCAGGCTGGCCGAGAAAAAGCGACAGGCCCACTCCCACCGTCTACAGAATCCCACGTCAGAGAATGAGGAGGCTTACCGCAGCCTTCGCTAGAGGTTCGGAGAGCCGTGAGGCGCTGCAAGGATGGGTGGTGGTCGCGGGTTGCTGAGGAGATGGAGTCTGCCTCAGTGGCCCGTGATCACAAATCTCTATTTAACTCCATCAGAAAAGTTACTTTCAGCGCCACACCAATCACCATCATTAGGGGAAAAGAACGGTGATCCAATCTCATACACCCAGGAACAGGTTTGCAGATTTGCTGAGCATTTCCTTGAGGTCCTGGGGGAGGGGAAAATCCCTCAGCCAGGAAAACATCGTGGCACAAAGTGAGGATGACCCTGCTGAGGCTGCGGTGCCTCAAATATTGGAAGAGGAAGTCACCCTCTGTGAGTGGCTGCCTGAGGTGCCATCTGTTGAGGAAGGACTGAAGGCGATCCGGAGTCTTGAGACCAGGAAAGGCAGCGGGCAGAGATGATCTCCCAAGTGAAATTTTGAGGGAGGGTGGCGTTTGTGCACAGACTGCCCTATATGACATCATAACAACAGTCTGGACCACTGGACGGGTTCCGCAGGATTTGAAGGATGCCCTGGTGGTCCCCCTCTTTAAGAAGGGGGACCGCACAGACTGTAACAACTACAAGGGCATCTCACCCCTCAGTGTGCTGGGAAAGGTCCTGGCAAGGATTATTCAACATCGCCTTGCCAGGCACGCTGAGGAGAGGCTTGCGGAGCCCCAATGCGGTTTCAGGAAAGGGCGGTCCTGCACAGATGCCATATTTTCTGTCAGTCTGCTACAGCAGAGGTGTAGGGAATTCCAACAAAACCTACATCTCTGCTTTATTGACCTGGTCAAGGCCTATGATACCATCAGTAGGCCTGGGCTCTGGGTTGTTCTTCGTGCTTTCAGAGTCCCTGACTCTCCGCTCACGATCATTAAGGACCTTCATGATGGTGAGCGGGCCCGGGTAAAACTACGTGGCCGAGAGCCGGAGCCATTCCCTGTACACCTTGGGGTGCGACAGGGATGTCCTCTGGCTCCCACATTGTTTAACATCTATTTTGACCACGTATTTCATGAAGCCTTCCATGGCTATACCGAAGGAATCTCCATCTGGTACAGATACAATGGGAGGCTGATCGATGACCGGGTGCGGTGAAGGGATGGCTCCCTATTGCTCAACCACGTTATGTATGCCGATGATCTGGTAATTCCTGCTCACTCAGAGGAGGAGTTGGAGGCGCTGCTTCTGAAATTGGAGCGTGCCACTAAGAGATGGGGCCTTACCATCAGCCCCACCAAAACTAAGCACCTGCCTGTGCATTTTGTACCATCGGACACTCCACCCCCACAACTCCCAATCGGTGATGGGGCAGTTGTGGAGAGAGTGGAGAGTTTCCATACCTGGACAGTGTGCTAATGACCGGGTCCGGTTTGACAGCAGAGGTCTCACTCCGAATCAGTCGAGCGGCATTATCTTTTCATCGGTTGCGCAACCTTAAGCTACGTGGTCTGTCGCTCCACACGAAGCTTCAGGTCTTCTCGGCCACGGTCATTCCCTCCCTTCTCTACGCTTGTGAAACGTGGACCCCCCCCCCCTAATGGAACATCTTCGCCGGTTAGAAACATTTAGGCTGGCCTGCCTAGGGTCCATCCTGGATTGAAACCTACAGGCTGGATTGTGTGAGGAGCTCACAAATCCTTAGCCAGTGGCTAAAACACAGCAAGTTGTCACAGTAGGGGGCACAGGTGGTTCAAGTCGTCTCAGTCAGTCGACCCATTGCACCTGCTGGGTCTGCCCAGTGACCTCCTGCCAGCGGGCGTTCGACACTTCACGTGGCCTCAACGTGCACATAGCCTGGCACAAGCGCCGTGGTGACGTCACCGGCACTTAGTGGCGAATGGCGGTGGTTGTGTGCTGTGTCTCTCTGTGTCTCTCTCTCTGTGTCTCTCTCTCTGTGTCTCTCTGTGTGTCTCTCTCTGTCTCTCTCTCGCTCTGTGTCTCTCTGTCTCTCTCTCGCTCTGTGTCTCTCTGTGTCTCTCTCTCTGTCTCTCTCTGTGTCTCTCTCTGTGTCTCTCTCTGTGTCTCTCTGTGTGTCTGTGTCTCTCTCTGTGTCTCTCTCTGTGTCTCTCTCGCTGTGTCTCTCTGTGTGTCTCTCTGTTTCTCTGTGTCTCTCTGTGTGTCTCTCTGTGCCTCTCTCTCTGTCTCTCTCTGTGTCTCTCTCTGTGTCTCTCTCTGTGTCTCTCTGTGTGTCTGTGTCTCTCTCTGTGTCTCTCTCTGTGTCTCTCTCGCTGTGTCTCTCTCGCTGTGTCTCTCTGTGTGTCTCTCTGTTTCTCTGTGTCTCTCTGTGTGTCTCTCTGTGCCTCTCTCTCGTGTCTCTTTCTGTCTCTCTGTGTGTCTCTCGCTCTGTGTCTCTCTCTGTGTCTCTCTCTGTGTCTCTCTCTGTGTCTCTCTCTCTGTGTCTCTCTGTGCCTCTCTCTCTGTGTGTCTCTCTCGTGTCTCTTTCTGTGTCTCTGTCTCTCTCTGTCTCTCTGCATCTTTGTGTCTCTCTCTGTGTCTCTCTCTGCATCTCTCTCTGTATCTCTCTCCGTGTCTCTCTCTGTCTCTCTCTCTCGCTCTGTGTCTCTCTGTCTCTCGCTCTGTGTCTCTCTCTGTGTCTCTCTGTGTGTCTCTCTGAGTGAGTGGGTGAATATTTGCGTGCGTGAGTATTAACACACATATCTCTCTCTCTCTCCCTGTGTCTCCCTCTCTCTCCTCCTCCTCCCTATGATTCTCCCAATCTCACTCTCCCTGTGTCTCTGTCCCTGTCTCCATGTCTCCCCCTGTCTCTCTCTCTACACGTGTGTCTCCGTGCGTGTGTGTCTCCCCGTGTGATTGTCTCTGTGTGTGTGTGTCTCCCCTTGTGTGTGTCTGTGTGTGTGTCTCTGCATGTGTCTGTGTGTGTGTGTCTGTGTGTGTCTTTGTGTGTGTCTCTGCATGTGTGTGTGTGTGTCTGTGTGTGTGTCTCTCCCCTTTGTGTGTGTGTGTGTCTTTGTGTGTGTCTCTCCCCTTGTCTGTGTGTGTGTCTGTGTGTGTCTGTGTGTGTGTCTGTGTGTGTGTCTGTGTGTGTGTCTCTGTGTGTATGTGTGTGTCTCTCCCCTTGTCTGTGTGTGTGTCTGTGTGTCTCTCCCCTTTGTGTGTCTGTGTGTGTGTCTGTGTGTGTGTTTGTGTGTGTGTCTGTGTGTGTCTCTCCCCTTTGTGTGTCTGTGTGTGTGTCTGTGTGTGTGTCTGTGTGTGTGTCTGTGTGTGTCTCTCCCCTTGTGTGTGTGTCTGTGTGTGTGTCTGTGTGTCTTTGTGTCTGTGTGTGTGTCTGTGTGTGTGTCTGTGTGTGTCTCTCCCCTTGTGTGTGTGTCTGTGTGTGTCTCTCCCCTTTGTGTGTCTGTGTGTGTGTCTGTGTGTGTGTCTGTGTGTGTCTCTCCCCTTGTGTGTGTGTCTGTGTGTGTGTCTGTGTGTGTCTGTGTGTGTGTCTGTGTGTGTCTCTCCCCTTGTGTGTGTGTCTGTGTGTGTATCTATATCTATGTGTGTGTATGTATCTATGTATATATATGTGTGTGTGTCTGTGTGTCTGTGTGTGTATATCTATGTGTGTATGTATCTATATGTGTGTATCTATGTATGTGTGTGTGTATGTGTGTGTGTCTGTGTGTGTATCTATATATATCTATATATGTATGTGTGTGTGTCTGTGTGTGTCTGTGTGTGTGTGTCTGTGTGTGTATATCTATGTGTGTATCTATATCTATGTGTGTATGTATCTATGTATATCTATGTGTGTGTGTGTAAGTCGTGGGATGTGTATTTCTATGTATATGTGTGTATGTATGTGTGTATGTGTGTGTATGTGTGTGTCTGTGTGTGTGTATCTATATATGTATCTATATGTATGTATCTATGTATGTATCTATATGTGTGTGTGTGTGTAAGTCGTGGGATGTGTATCTCTATGTATATGTGTGTATGTATGTGTGTATGTGAGTGTGTGTCTGTGTCTGTGTGTGTGTCTGTGTGTGTGTCTGTGTATGTCTCTCCCCTTGTGTGTGTGTCTATGTGTGTCTCTCCCCTTGTGTGTGTGTCTGTGTGTGTATATCTATATCTATATGTGTGTGTATGTATCTATATCTATGTGTGTGTGTGTCTGTGTGTCTGTGTGTGTATATCTATGTGTGTATGTATCTATGTGTGTGTATCTATCTATCTATGTATGTGTGTGTATGTGTGTGTGTCTGTGTGTGTATCTATATATATCTATATATGTATGTGTGTGTGTCTGTGTGTATATCTATGTATGTATCTATGTGTGTATCTATGTATATATCTATATGTATCTATCTATGTGTGTGTAAGTCGTGGGATGTGTATTTCTATGTATATATGTATCTATATGTATCTATGTATCTATATCTATATGTGTGTGTAAGTCGTGGGATGTGTATTTCTATGTATATGTGTGTGTGTATATCTATGTGTGTATGTATATATATCTATCTATGTGTGTGTAAGTCGTGGGATGTGTATTTCTATGTCTATATGTATCTATATATGTATCTATATCTATGTGTATCTATATCTATGTGTGTATGTATATATCTATGTATATATATCTATATGTGTGTGTAAGTCGTGGGATGTGTATTTCCGCGCGGCCTCTGCCGGAGCGTCTCCTGGCCAGGCGTACTGCAGCCCCCCCGCGCCCGGCTCGCCCCTCCCCCTCTCGCCCCTCCCCTCCGCCTCGACAGGGCCACACAACAAGATTATAGAGGATCACCTTGCCGTGCAGTCACTCATACGGGCGTACCAGGTACTCACAGTAGTACCAGGTACTCACAGTAGTACCAGGTACTCACAGTAGTAGCAGGTACTCACAGTAGTAGCAGGTACTCACAGTAGTACTCACAGTAGTAGCAGGTACTCACAGTAGTAGCAGGTACTCACAGTAGTACCAGGTACTGACAGTAGTACTCACAGTAGTACCAGGTACTGACAGTAGTACCAGGTACTCACAGTAGTAGCAGGTACTCACAGTAGTAGCAGGTACTCACAGTAGTACTCACAGTAGTACCAGGTACTCACAGTAGTACCAGGTACTCACAGTACTCACAGTAGTACCAGGTACTCACAGTAGTACCAGGTACTCACACTTGTAGCAGGAAGTCACAGTTAGACCAGGCAGTCACTTTAGTACCAGGCACTCCCACTAGTAGCAGTAGTATCAGGTAATCACAGTCAGTAGTAGTAGAACCAGGTACTTGCACTAATACCATTAGTACCATGTTCTCACAGTAGTAGTAGGACCAGGTTCTCACAGTAGTAGTAGTATCAGGGACTCAGTAGTACTAGGTACTCTCTAGTAGTAGGTGTTCACAATAGTATCAGTAGTACCAGGTTCTCACAGTAGTAGTAGCAGGCTCCCACTCACAGTAGTAGTATCAGTAGCATCAATAGCAGTAGTAGTATCAACAGTATCATCACCACCAACACCACCATCATCACCACTACCATCATCACTACCACCGTCACCACCACCATCATCACAACCACCACCATCATCACCACCGCCATCACCATCATCACCACCATCACTACCACCACCACTACCATCAACACCACCATCATCACGAGCAGAATCACCACCATGATCACCACCATCACCACTACCTTCATCACCACCACCATCACCACCACCACCACCATCACCACCACCACCATCACCACCACCATCACCACCATCACCACCACCATCACCACCACCATCACCACCACCACCACTACCTTCACCATCACCACCACCATCACCACCACCATCACCACCACCATCACCACCACCACCATCACCACCATCATCAGCGGCGTCTACGTTTCAGGTTTGTTGGTGGTGGCAGTAATGCTGGTGTTGATGGTGGTGATGTTGATTGTGGTGGTAGTGGTGATGGTGGTGATTTTAATCCAATCAAAATCCACTTCTCCATTCTGGGTCAGACTCACACAGAGACTCACACAGAGACTCACACAGAGACTCACAGACTCATACAGAGACTCACACAGAGACTCACACAGAGACTCACACAGAGACTCACACAGAGACTCACACAGAGACTCACACAGAGACTCACAGACTCACACAGAGACTCACACAGAGACTCATAGACTCACACATAGACTCACTCACAGACTCACACAGAGACTCACACAGAGACTCACACAGAGACTCACAGACTCACACAGAGACTCACACAGAGACTCACGCAGAGACTCACACAGAGACTCACACAGAGACTCACACAGAGACTCACACAGAGACTCACAGACTCACACAGAGACTCACAGACTCACACAGAGACTCACACAGAGACTCACAGTCTCACACAGAGACTCACACAGAGACTCACAGACTCACACATAGACTCACACAGAGACTCACACAGAGACTCACACAGAGACACACACAGAGACTCACAGACTCACACAGAGACTCACAGACTCACACAGAGACTCACACAGAGACTCACACAGAGCCTCACACAGAGACTCACACAGACTCACACATAGACTCACTCATAGACTAACGCATAGACTCACTCACAGACTCACACAGAGACTCACAAACTCACACAGAGACTCACAGACTCACACAGAGACTCACACAGAGACTCACAAACTCACACAGAGACTCACAAACTCACACAGAGACTCACACAGAGACTCACAGACTCACACATAGACTCACAGACTCACACAGAGATACACACAGACTCACACAGAGATACACACAGACTCACAGACTCACACAGAGACTCACAGACTCACACAGAGACTCACACAGAGACTCACACAGAGACTCACAGACTCATACAGAGACTCACAGACTCACACGGAGACTCGCACAGAGACTCACACAGACTCGCACAGAGACTCACAGACTCACACAGAGACTCACAGACTCACACAGAGACTCACAGACTCACACAGAGACTCACACAGAGACAGACAGACTCACACAGAGACAGACTCACACAGAGACACACAGACTCACACAGAGACGCACAGACGCACACAGAGACTCACACAGACTCACACAGAGACTCACACAGAGATACATACACAGAGACACACACAGAGACTCAGACTCGCACAGAGACTCACAGACCCGCACAGAGACTCACAGACTCACACAGAGACTCACACAGAGACTCACAGACTCACACAGAGACTCACACTCACACAGAGACTCGCACAGAGACTCGCACAGAGACTCACACAGAGACTCACACAGAGACTCACTCACAGACTCGCACAGAGACTCACACAGAGACTCACACAGAAACACACACACAGAGACACACAGACACACAGAGACACAGAGACACAGACACACACAGAGACTCACACAGAGACTCACAGACTCACACAGAGACTCACACAGACTCACACAGAGACTCACACAGAGATACATACACAGAGACACACACAGAGACTCACAGACTCACACAGAGACTCACACAGAGACACACACAGACTCACACAGAGACTCACACAGAGACTCAGACACAGAGACTCAGACACAGAGACTCAGACACAGAGACATACACAGAGACTCAGACACAGAGACTCAGACACAGAGACGCACACAGACTCACACAGAGACTCACACAGAGATACATACACAGAGACACACACAGAGACTCACAGACTCACACAGAGACTCACACAGAGACACACACAGACTCACACAGAGACTCACACAGAGACTCACACAGAGACACACACAGAGACATACACAGAGACTCACACAGAGACTCACACAGAGACACACACAGAGACACACACAGAGACATACACAGAGACTCACACAAAGACTCACACAGAGACACACACAGAGACTCACACAGAGACTCACACAGAGACTCACACAGAGACACACACAGAGACTCACATAGAGACTCACACAGAGACACACACAGAGACTCAGACACAGAGACACACACAGAGACTCACACAGAGACTCACACAGAGACACACGCAAAGACTCAGACACAGAGACACACGCAGAGACACACGCAGAGACTCACACAGAGACTCACACAGAGACACACACAGAGACACACACAGAGACACACACAGAGACACACAGACACACAGAGACTCACACAGAGACACACACAGAGACTCACACAGAGACACACACAGAGACACACACACAGACACACACAGAGACTCACACAGAAACACACACACAGAGACACACAGACACACAGAGACACAGACACACACAGAGACACAGAGACACACACAGAGACACACACAGAGACACACACAGAGACACAGAGACACACAGAGACACACACAGACACAGACAGACACACAGACAGAGACACACAGAGACTCACACAGAAACATACACACAGAGACACACAGAGACACACACAGAGACACACAGAGACACACACAGAGACACAGAGACACACACAGAGACACACACAGAGACACAGAGACACACACAGAGACACACACAGAGACACACACAGAGACACACAGACACACACAGAGACACACAGAGACACACACAGACACACACAGAGACACACACAGACACACACACAGACACACACACAGAGACACACACAGACACACACACAGACACACACACAGACACACACACAGACACACACACAGACACACACACACAGACACACACACACACAAGGTGGTCCACTCCTCACTGTGCGAGCTCCCAATTTGACTCTCGGAGCATCGCCATCGGGGACTGGCGCCGTGATTTTGGTGATCCAATCATCACCCCCCTCAGCCCCTCCCCCTCTCAGCCCCTTCCCCTCAGCCCCTCCCCCTCTCAGCCCCTCCCCCTCAGCCCCTCCCCCTCATCCCTCCCCCTCTCAGCCCCTCCCCCTCTCAGCCCCTCATCCCTCCCCCTCTCAGCCCCTCCCCCTCATCCCTCCCCCTCTCAGCCCCTCCCCCTCATCCCCCCCCTCTCAGCCCCTCCCCCTCATCCCCCCCCTCTCAGCCCCTCCCCCTCATCCCCCCCTCTCAGCCCCCCCCTCTCAGCCCCTCCCCCTCATCCCCCCTCTCATCCCCTCATCCCCCCTCTACCCCTCCCCTCTCATCCCCTCATCCCCCCTCCCCCCTCCCTCTCATCCCCCCTCCCCTCAATCGTGGTGTTTTCTCTCCGCTTGTGGGCTCTCAGTGCACCACGTGGGGGCTCAGTGCACCACGTGGGGGCTCAGTGCACCACGTGGGCTCAGTGCACCACGTGGTGGCTCAGTGCACCACGTGGGCTCAGCGCACCACGTGGGGGCTCAGCGCACCACGTGGGGGCTCAGAGTGCACCACGTGGGCTGAGTGCACCACGTGGGGGCTCAGAGTGCACCACGTGGGCTCAGCGCACCACGTGGGCCCAGCGCACCACGTGGGCTCATTGCACCACGTGGGGGCTCATTGCACCACGTGGGCGCTCAGCGCACCACGTGGGGGCTCAGCGCACCACGTGGGCTCATTGCACCACGTGGGCGCTCAGCGCACCACGTGGGCCCAGCGCACCACGTGGGCTCATTGCACCACGTGGGGGCTCATTGCACCACGTGGGGGCTCATTGCACCACGTGGGCGCTCAGCGCACCACGTGGGCTCATTGCACCACGTGGGCGCTCAGTGCACCACGTGGGCGCTCAGCGCACCACGTGGGGGCCCAGCGCACCACGTGGGGGCTCAGCGCACCACGTGGGCTCAGCGCACCACGTGGGCTCAGTGCACCACGTGGGCCCAGCGCACCACGTGGGGGCCCAGCGCACCACGTGGGGGCTCAGTGCACCACGTGGGGGCTCAGCGCACCACGTGGGGGCCCAGCGCACCACGTGGGGGCTCAGAGTGCACCACGTGGGCTCAGCGCACCACGTGGGGGCTCAGAGTGCACCACGTGGGCTGAGTGCACCACGTGGGCGCTGAGCGCACCACGTGGGCGCTGAGCGCACCACGTGGGGGCTGAGCGCACCACGTGGGGGCTCAGCGCACCACGTGGGGGCTCAGTGCACCACGTGGTCCCAGCGCACCACGTGGGCCCAGCGCACCACGTGGTCCCAGTGCACCACGTGGTCTCTCGTGGTCATTGTTGTTTGCGTCGCTCTGTGCATGGCCTGGGGCTCACGCTGTGGCGAATCGCGTCAGCATTGCTGTGTGTCACGTGTGTGTGTGTCACGTGTGTGTGTGTCACGTGTGTGTGTGTCACGTGTGTGTCACGTGTGTCACGTGTGTGTCACGTGTGTCACGTGTCACGTGTGTCACGTGTCACGTGTGTCACGTGTCACGTGTGTCACGTGTCACGTGTGTCACGTGTCACGTGTGTGTACGTGTGCATGCGTGTGTACGTGTGCATGCGTGTGTACGTGTGCATGCGTGTGTACGTGTGCATGCGTGTGTACGTGTGCATGCGTGTGTACGTGTGCATGCGTGTGTACGTGTGTGCGTGCGTGTGTGCGTGCGTGTGTGTGTGCATGCATGTGTGTTGTGCATGTGTGTGTGCTGTGTGTGTGTGCTGTGTGTGTGTGCTGTGTGTGTGTGCATGTGTGTGTTGTGCATGTGTGTGTGTGTGCATGCGTTATCGTCTGTTGCTTCGCTACGTCACCGCTGCCTGTCTCTCTGCCTTTCCTTCTGCACCTCCCCGTTGTCTCCCCGTTGTGTCTCCCCGTGTCTCCCCGTGTCTCTCCCCGTGTCTCTCCCCGTGTCTCTCCCCGTGTCTCTCCCTGTTGTGTCTCTCCCCGTTGTGTCTCCCCGTGTCTCTCCCCGTGTCTCTCCCCGTGTCTCCCCGTGTCTCCCCTTGTCTCCCCCTGTTGTGTCTCCCCGTGTCTCTCTCTCCCCGTGTCTCTCCCCGTGTCTCTCCCCGTGTCTCCCCCCGTGTCTCTCCCCGTGTGTCTCCCCGTGTCTCCCCCCGTGTCTCTCCCCGTGTCTCCCCCCGTGTCTCTCCCCGTGTCTCTCCCCGTTGTCTCTCCCCGTGTCTCCCCCCGTGTCTCTCCCCGTGTCTCTCCCCGTGTCTCTCCCCGTGTCTCCCTGTTGTGTCTCCCCGTGTCTCTCCGTTGTGTCTCTCCCCGTGTCTCTCCCCGTGTCTCTCCCCGTGTCTCTCCCCGTGTCTCCCCGTGTCTCTCCCCGTGTCTCTCCCCGTGTGTCTCCCCGTGTCTCTCCTCGTGTCTCTCCCCGTGTCTCTCCCCGTGTCTCTCCCCGTGTCTCTCCCCGTGTCTCCCCCCGTGTCTCTCCCCGTGTCTCTCCCTGTTGTCTCTCCCCGTGTCTCTCCCCGTGTCTCTCCCCGTGTCTCCCCGTGTCTCTCCCCGTGTCTCCCCGTGTCTCCCCTTGTCTCCCCGTGTCTCTCCCCGTGTCTCTCTCTCCCCGTGTCTCTCTCTCCCCGTGTCTCTCTCTCCCCGTGTCTCTCCCCGTGTCTCCCCGTGTCTCCCCGTGTCTCCCCTTGTCTCCCCGTGTCTCTCCCCGTGTCTCTCCCCGTGTCTCCCCGTTGTCTCTCCCCGTGTCTCTCCCCGTGTGCCTCCCCGTGTCTCTCCCCGTTGTGTCTCCCCGTGTCTCTCCCCGTGTCTCTCCCCGTGTCTCTCCCCGTGTCTCTCCCCGTGTCTCTCCCCGTTGTGTCTCCCCGTTGTGTCTCCCCGTGTCTCTCCCCGTGTCTCTCCCCGTGTCTCTCCCCGTGTCTCTCTCTCTCCCCGTTGTGTCTCCCCGTGTCTCTCCCCGTGTCTCCCCGTGTCTCTCCCCGTGTGTCTCCCCGTGTCTCTCCCCGTGTCTCCCCGTGTCTCTCCCCGTGTCTCTCCCCGTGTCTCCCCGTTGTGTCTCCCCGTGTCTCTCCCCGTGTCTCCCCGTGTCTCTCTCTCTCCCCGTGTCTCTCCCCGTGTCTCTCCCCGTGTCTCTCCCCGTGTCTCCCCGTTGTGTCTCCCCGTGTCTCTCCCCGTGTCTCTCCCCGTGTCTCCCCGTTGTGTCTCCCTGTGTCTCTCCCCGTGTCTCCCCGTGTCTCTCTCTCTCCCCGTGTCTCTCCCCGTGTCTCTCCCCGTGTCTCTCTCTCTCTCCCCGTGTCTCTCCCCGTGTCTCTCCCCGTGTCTCTCCCCGTGTCTCTCCCCCCCCTCCCCCCCCCCCCCGTTCCTCTCGTCTCTCCCCCCCTCTGCCTGTAGGTGAGGGGTCACCATGTGTCAAATCTTGACCCTCTGGGTCTCAATGTGACCAGTTTTGATGATGGACTCATTAGCACAGTGCCCAGCCTAGGTGAGCCCTGGCTGGCTGGGTGGGTGGCTGGGTGGCTGGGTGGGTGGGTGGAGGCCCTGGTGAGGGGTGGGTGGGGTGGGGAGGGTCTCAAGGGGAACCACCACCCAACCACCACCCACCCACCACCCACCCACCACCCACCCACCCACCCCCTCTCCTTCCGCCCCTGCCCAGGAACTCACCGCACCACCACCACCACCACCGCACCGCACCGCACCATCACCAGCGCACTCCACTCACACACACACACAACTCACAGAGCGAGTGGGCGAGCGAGTGGGTTGGTGAGCGAGCGGGCGAGCGAGTGGGTGAGCGGGCGGATGAGCGAGTGTGTGGGTGAGCGAGTGGGTGGGTGAGTGGGCGAGCGAGCGGGTGGGCAAGCGAGTGGGTGGGTGAGCGAGTGGGCGAGCGAGTGGGTGGGTGAGCGAGTGTGTGGGTGAGTGGGTTGGTGTGTAGCCGTGTGTGTGTGTTGGCAAAGTCTCTCCGTGCAGCTCTGTAAGGGTGTGTGCGCGTCCGTCTCTCGGTGTGTGTCTGTGTCTCCGTGTGTGTGTCTGTGTCTCGGTGTGTGTCTGTGTGTGTGTCTGTGTCTCCGTGTGTGTGTGTGTCTCCGTGTGTGTCTGTGTCTCCGTGTGTGTCTGTGTCTCCGTGTGTGTGTCTGTGTCTCCGTGTGTGTGTCTGTGTCTCCGTGTGTGTGTCTGTGTCTCCGTGTGTGTCTGTGTCTCGGTGTGTGTCTGTGTCTCCGTGTGTGTCTGTGTCTCCATGTGTGTCTGTGTCTCCATCGCTGTGTGTGTGTCTCCGTGTGTGTCTGTCTCTCTGTGTGTGTCTGTGTCTCCGTGTGTGTGTGTGTCTGTGTCTCCGTGTGTGTGTCTGTGTCTCCGTGTGTGTCTGTGTCTCCGTGTGTGTGTCTGTGTCTCCGTGTGTGTGTCTGTGTCTCCGTGTGTGTGTGTGTGTCTGTGTCTCCGTGTGTGTGTCTGTGTCTCCGTGTGTGTCTGTGTCTCCGTGTGTGTGTCTGTGTCTCCGTGTGTGTGTCTGTGTCTCCGTGTGTGTGTCTCCGTGTGTGTGTCTGTGTCTCCGTGTGTGTGTGTCTGTGTCTCCGTGTGTGTCTGTGTCTCCGTGTGTGTGTCTGTGTCTCCGTGTGTGTGTGTCTGTGTCTCCGTGTGTGTCTGTGTCTCTGTGTGTGTGTGTGTCTGTGTCTCCGTGTGTGTCTCCATCGCTGTGTGTCTGTGTCTCCGTGTGTGTGTGTCTCCGTGTGTGTCTGTCTCCATGTGTGTCTCCATCGCTGTGTGTCTGTGTCTCCGTGTGTGTGTCTGTGTCTCCGTGTGTGTGTGTGTCTCCGTGCGTCTCTGTGTGAGTGTGCACGCTGGTGTCTGTCTGTGTGTGTCTCTCTGTGCGCAGGTTTTGCGTCTATACGCAGTGGGGGGGGAGGGGGTTGGGGAGTCTCTGTCTGTCTGTGTAGGCGTGGATTGTCCATGTCCCCCGCCATGTCTCTAGATTCGCGGACACCACATAGCCCAGCTGGACCCCCTAGGAATCCTGGACGCTGATCTCTGCTACACAGTCCCTTGTGACCTGATCACCTCCTCAGACAGACTCGGTGTGTCTCTCTGTCTCTCTCTTCCTGTGTCTCTCTCCCTGTGTCTCTCCCTGTGTCTCTCTCCCTGTGTCTCTCTCTTCATGTCTCTCTCCCTGTGTCTCTCTCTCTCTCTCTTCGTGTCTCTCTCTTCATGTCTCTCTCTCCCTGTGTCTCTCTCCCTGTGTCTCTCTCCCTGTCTCTCTCTCCCTGTGTCTCTCTCCCTGTGTCTCTCTCCCTGTGTCTCTCTCCCTGTGTCTCTCTCTCTTCGTGTCTCTCTCTCCCTGTGTCTCTCTCCCTGTGTCTCTCTCCCTGTGTCTCTCTCTCTCCGTGTCTCTCTCCCTGTGTCTCTCTCCCTGTGTCTCTCTCCCTGTGTCTCTCTCCCTGTGTCTCTCTCCCTGTGTCTCTCTCCCTGTGTCTCCCTCCCTGTGTCTCCCTGTCTCTCTCTCCATGTCTCTCTCTCCCTGTGTCTCTCTCCCTGTATCTCTCTCCCTGTGTCTCTCTCCCTGTGTCTCTCTCCCTGTGTCTCTCTTCGTGTCTCTCTTCGTGTCTCTCTTCGTGTCTCTCTCTCCCGTGTCTCTCTCTCCCTGTGTCTCTCTCTCCCTGTGTCTCTCTCTCCCTGTGTCTCTCTCTCCCTGTGTCTCTCTCCCTGTGTCTCTCTCCATGTGTCTCTCTCCCTGTCTCTCTCTCCATGTCTCTCTCTCTCTCTTCGTGTCTCTCTCCCGTGTCTCTCTCTCCCTGTGTCTCTCTCTCCCTGTGCCTCTCTCTCCATGTGTCTCTCTCCCTGTCTCTCTCTCCATGTCTCTCTCTCTCTCTCTCCCTGTCTCTCTCTCCATGTCTCTCTCGCTCTCTCTTCGTGTCTCTCTCTTCATGTCTCTCTATCTCTCTCTCCCTGTCTCTCTCTCCCTGTGTCTCTCTCCCTGTGTTCTCCGTGGGTCTTTGTGTCTCTCTCTCCCTGTGTCTCTCTCTCCATATCTCTCTCCCTGTGTCTCTCTCCATGTCTCTCTCCCCGTGTCTCTCTCTCCCTGTGTCTCTCTCTCCCCCGTGTTCTCCGTGGGTCTTTGTGTCTCTCCCACTCTCCCCGTGTCCGCTGCGTCTCCTCTGTCCTCCTCCGTCTCTGCACGTCTTTCACCCCGTGTCTCTCTTACCACCTTCCTCAGTCTCGGTGTCTTTCTCCATCTCTCTCTCTCTCTCTTTCATTGATTCCATCTCCCATTTTTACCCAGACCTTCTCTCTCCCCGTGTGTCTCCCGTGTGTCCCCCACGTGTCCCCCACGTGTCTCCCCGGGTCTCCGATTGCTTTTCTTCTCCTTGATTTTAATTAATTTTCTCCATGAGAGAGTGGTGAGGGTGACAGAGTTGAGTGTGTGAATGAGTGAGAGTGAGTGAGTGAGAGAGCGTTGTGTGTGTGTGTAAGTACGTGTGTATTAATGTGAGTGTATGTATCAGTGTGAGTCTCTGTGCATCAGTGTGAGTATCAGTGTGAGTGTGAGTATCAGTGTGACTGTGAGTATCAGTGTGTGTGAGTATCAGTGTGTGTGTGTGTGTGAAAGTATCAGTGTGTGTGTGTGAGTATCAGTGTATATCAGTGTGAGTCTGTGTATCAGTGTATATCAGTGTGAGTCTGTGTATCAGTGTGTATCAGTGTGTATCAGTGTGTGTATCAGTGTGTATCAGTGTGAGTCTCTGTGTATCAGTGTCTATCAGTTTGAGTCTCTGTGTATCAATGTGTATCAGTGTGTATCAGTGTGTATCAGTGTGAGTCTCTGTGTATCAGTGTCTATCAGTGTGAGTCTCTGTGTATCAATGTGTATCTGTGTGAGTATCAGTGTGAGTATCAGTGTGTATCAGTGTGAGTCTCAGTGTGTGTGTGTATCTGTGTGAGTCTCAGTGTGTATCGCTGTGAGTCTTTGTGTGTGGTGGGGGTAGCAGCGACTTGAATCAGAGAAGAGATGATGGTGGTGGTGGTGGAGGCGAGAGCTGAGTTAGATTCCCCCGGTCGACTCGGCCTCACACAAAACACCCGGGTGCGGTGCCGTGCGTAGTGAACATCGTCACCGGGGAGACAAAGGCGGCCGGGCGTGGTGCTGGCCACCCACCCCCCTCGTGTGTACCGTTCCGGCCTTCACAGGTGCTGCTCGCTAACAGCACTTGCCCCTGCAGCCCTGTTAGAGGCTACACGGGGGGATCTTTGCGTGCGTGTGCGGATGCGGTCCCATGCCCTCGACACCAGGGACCTACGGTGGAGCTGATCTGCCCCCGCTGACCATCGGCTCCGTCGTCTGTAAGATGCGCCCGCCATTCTTCCGCTCCGGCGGTGGCGGGCGGGTGGGTGTACACCCAGGACCCCGTTCAAACCCACAGTGGCCTGGTCTCGGCTCGCCGATGGAAGCCGCGAGAAAGATAATTTCGTCGTCGCTTCTGCGGCCGGGGTTGGCGTCGTCCCCACCACTCCTCGTCCTGATGCCGAGGGGAAATGGGGGCGAGGTTTTAGGACTGTGGCTCACGCGCAGCTGCGATGGCCGCTTTGGGTACGCGGTCCAGACCTCCCCAGAGACCCCGGCTGACGGAGGAGGTGTTCAGGCTGGCTGAGAAAAAAAGCGACAGGCCCACTCCCACCGTCTACAGCATCCCACAGAGAATGAGGATGCTTACCGCCGCCTTCGCTCGGAGGTTCGGAGAGCCGTGAGGCGCTGCAAGGGATGGGTGGTGGTCGCGGGTGGCTGAGGAGATGGAGTCTGCCTCGGTAGCCCGCGATCACAAATCACTCTTTAACTCCATCAAAAAAGTAACCTGCAGCGCCGCACCTTTCACCATCATTATGGAGCAGGTTTGCAGATTTTTGCTGAGCATTTCTGCGAGATCTTGGGGAGGGGGAAATCCCTCAGCCAGGAAATTGTCATGGGGCAAAGTGGGGATGCCGTACCTCAAATATCGGAAGAAGTAGTGACCCCCTGTGAGTGGCTGGCCGAAGTGCTGTCTGTTGAGGAAGTACTGAAGGCGATCCAGAGTCTGAGACCACGAAAATTGCCAGGCGGAGATGATCTCTCAAGCGAAATGCTGAGTGTGGCGTTTATGTGCAGACGGCCCTACCTGACATCATAACAACAGTCTGGGCCACTGGACGGGTTCCGCAGGATTGGAAGGATGCCCTGGTGGTCCCCCTCTTTAAGAAGGGGGACCGCACAGACTGTAACAACTATAGGGGCATCTCACTCCTCAGTGTGCCGGGAAAGGTCCTGGCAAGGATTATTCAACATCGCCTTGCCAGGCACGCTGAGGAGAGGCTTGCGGAGCCCCAATGCGGTTTCAGGAAAGGGCGGTGCTGCACGGATGCCATATTTTCTGTCCGTCTGCTACAGCAGAGGTGTAGGGGATTCCAGCAAGACCTACATCTCTGCTTTATTGACCTGGTCAAGGCCTATGATACCATCAGTAGGCCTGGGCTCTGGGTTGTTCTTCGTGCTTTTGGAGTCCCTGACCCTCCACTCACGATCATTAAAGGACCTTCGTGATGGTGAGCGGGCCCGGGTAAAACTACGTGGCCGGGAGTCGGAGCCCCATCCCCTGTTCACCTTGGGGTCCGACAGGGATGTCCTCTGGCTGCCACATTTTTGAACATCGTCTTTGAGTGCGTAGTTCGAGAAGAGCTAGCCTTTGCTCTATCAGAGGAATCTCCAATAGGAGGCTCATATTGATTGCACATAGCCTGGCAGAAGCGCCGTGGTGACATCACCACCGCTCGGTCGAGAACGGAGGATGTTGTACGTATCTCTGTGTGCGTTTGTCTTTGTACGTACGTGTGTGTACGTGTGTACACGTGTGTGTGTACGTGTGTGTGTGTGTGTGTACACGTGTGTGTGTACGTGTGTGTGTGTGTACACGTGTGTGTGTACGTGTGTGTGTGTGTGTACACGTGTGTGTGTATGTGTGTACACGTGTGTGTGTGTACACGTGTGTGTGTGTGTGCGTGGGTCATTCATTTTCCATGCCGATTTTCAATTAAATCTCCGCTGAAATGCAAACTCTCGTACGCACAGACATACACAGGTGCATGCGTGCGGATACATGCACAGGAATGCGCAGATACATGCACACAGATACACAGCACCGATGCACATGCACACAACAACAACAACAGCTGCCTTTCGCCACCAAGTAGTGGTGACGTCACCACAACGCTTGTGCCAGGCTAGGTGCACCTTGAGGCCACGTGAAGTGTGGAAGACTCTCTGCTGGCAGGAGGTCACGGGGCAGACCCAGGTTCCACAGGTCGACTGACTGAGATGACTGGCTGATGCACCACCTGTGCCCCCTACTGTGCCAACCTGCTGTGCTTTAGCCGCCCGGTGCTCCGCTCGTTGTTGTGAGCGTCGCTCCTCCGCCCTCCGTTGTTGTTGGAGGGCGACTGCGTCCAACTGCCCAGTAGCGTCCTTCACGAGCCTCCTCCACAGAGGCCGATCTTGACACCGCCGGTACCAGTCATCGGCAAGTCCACTCAGCTCCACGTCCACCTGTACCACATCACTCCATCTCTTCTCTAGCCCGTGCCACGCCCGTTTAGCCCCCTCGATCCGGCCGAACAAAAGCTGTTTCGGCATACGGTGGCTGGGCATGCGGGCTACATGACCCAGCCATCGCAGCCTTGCCTGCCGGAGGAGCTCACCGATGGGACCGTGCCCAGATCTTTCAAGGATTTGTGAGCTCCTCACACCATCCAGCCTGGTTAAACCCAGGATGGATCGTAGGCAGGCCATCCTGCATGGATGGCCTGCTACACAGTCCCATTGGAGGGGTCCACGTTTCACAGCCATAGAGAAGGGAGGGAATGACTGTGGCCGAGAAGACCTGAAGCTTAGTGCGGAGCGACAGACCAGGTAGCTTCCACACAGCGTTGCGCAACCGATGAAAAGATATTGCCGCTCGACTGATTCGGAGTGAGACCTCTGCTGTTAAACTGGAGCCAGTCATAAGCACACTGCCCAGGTATGGGAAACTCTCCACTCTCTCCACAACTGCCCCATCACCGATTGGGAGTTGTGGGGGTGGAGTGTCCGATGGTACAAAATACCCAGGCAGGTGCTTAGTTTTGGTGGGGCTGATGGTAAGGCCCCACCTCTTAGTGGCAAGCTCCAGGTTCAGCAGCAGCGTCTCCAACTCCTCCTCTGAGTGAGCAGAAATTACCAGATCATCGGCACACGTAACGCGGTTGACCATCCCTTCACCGCACTCGGACATCGATCAGCCTCCCATTTGATCTGTGCCAGATGGAGATTCCTTCGGTACAGCCATGGAAAGCTTCACGAACTACGTGGTCAAAATAGATGTTAAATAATGTGGGAGCCAGAGGACATCCCTGTCGCACCCAAAGGTGTACAGGGAATGGCTCCGATTATACAGCTACGTAACACAATTTTTGTTTCCTGGGTACCGAGTGTTTATATATATATTTTTTAATTGCTTATGCCTTAAAAAGTATAGCAAATGGCTAATCCCACGAACTTTGCTTTTGTGACCAGGACTTAATGTGATCGAAAGACACAAATGCACACCACGTGTTCTCATTGAAAATAGGTACATTTGAAAATATCACTTTCCTCGTTCACAAGAGCAAAGTTTGTGGGGGATAATTTTCTGTACTCTTTTGAGCCTTAAGCGATTAGGAAATAACACTTACTGCCCAGGAACATCATTTTTTATTTGTTACACTGTTACTGGCCAAGTAGTTTTACCTGGGCCTACGCTTAATGATTGTGAGCAGAGAGTCAGGGACTCTTAAAGCACGAAGAACAACCCAGAGCCCAGGCCTACTGATGGTATCATAGTGCCTTGACCAGTTCAATAAAGCAGAGATGTCGGTCTTGTTGGAATTCCCGACACCTCTGCTGTAGCTGACGGACATAAAATATGGCATCTGTACAGGTCACACACTTAACCACCCACTCACCCACCCACGCACTCACTTATCCACGCACTCACCCACTCACTCACCTACCCAGCCACTACTCACCCACCTACGCACCCACCCACGCACTCACCCACTCGCCCACCCACGCACCCATCCACTCCCTCACCCACAAACTCACCCACCCAGCCACTACTCACCCACCTACCCATTCACCCACCCACGCACTTACCCCACGCACTTACCCACCCAGCCAATACTGCTCACCCACCCACTCACCCACCCACTCACCCACCCACCCACTCACCCACCCACCCACTCACCCATCCACCCACCCACCCACCCACTCACCCATCCACCCACCCACCTACCCACCCACCCACTCACCCACCCACCTACTCACCCACCCACCTACCCACCTACCCACCCACCCACTCACCCACCCACCTACCCACCCACCCACCCACTCACCCACCCACCTACCCACTCCCTCACCCCCACCTCCCCCCAGGCTTCTATGGGCTGGGCGAGGCCGACCTGGACAAGGTTTTCCGTCTCCCCACCACCACCTTCATCGGCGGCGGAGAGTCGGCCCTGCCACTCCGGGAGATCGTCAAGAGACTCGAGGCACGAGGGGGGGCGGAGTGGGGGAGAGAGGGGGAGGAGTGGGGGAGAGAGAGAGAGTGTGCAGTCTGTGTGTGACTCCCTCTCCTCCACCCTCTCCCCTCCCTCCCCCCTCCCTCTCTCCCCCCCTCTCCCCTCCCTCCCTCCCTCTCCCCTCCCTCCCTCCCTCTCCCCTCCCTCCCTCCCTCTCCCCTCCCTCCCCTCTCCCCTCTCCCTCCCCTCCCTCTCCCTCCCTCCCTCTCCTCCACCCTCCCTCTCTCTCCTCTCCCTCCCCCCTCTCCCCTGTGTTGTGAATGTGTGTGTGTATGTGTGTGTGTGTGTTGTGAATATGTGTGTTGTGTGTGTGTGTTGTGAATATGTGTGTTGTGTGTGTGTTGTGAATGTGTGTGTTGTGAATATGTGTGTTGTGTGTGTTGTGAATATGTGTGTTGTGTGTGTGTGTTGTGAATATGTGTGTTGTGTGTGTGTGTTGTGAATATGTGTGTTGTGTGTGTGTTGTGAATATGTGTGTTGTGTGTGTTGTGAATGTGTGTTGTGTGTGTGTGTTGTGAATGTGTGTGTTGTGTGTGTGTGTTGTGAATGTGTGTGTGTTGTGTGTGTGTGTTGTGAATATGTGTGTTGTGTGTGTGTGTTGTGAATATGTGTGTTGTGTGTGTGTGTTGTGAATATGTGTGTTGTGTGTGTGTGTTGTGAATATGTGTGTTGTGTGTGTGTGTTGTGAATATGTGTGTTGTGTGTGTGCGTTGTGAATGTGTGTGTGTGTTGTGAATATGTGTTGTGTGTGTGTGTGTTGTGAATATGTGTGTTGTGTGTGTGTGTTGTGAATATGTGTGTTGTGTGTGTGCGTTGTGAATGTGTGTGTGTGTTGTGAATATGTGTGTTGTGTGTGTGTGTTGTGAATGTGTGTGTTGTGAATGTGTGTGTTGTGTATGTGTGTGTTGTGAATGTGTGTGTTGTGAATGTGTGTGTTGTGAATGTGTGTGTTGTGTGTGTGTGTTGTGAATGTGTGTGTGTTGTGTGTGTGTTGTGAATGTGTGTGTGTTGTGAATGTGTGTGTTGTGAATGTGTGTGTGTTGTGTCTGTGTGTGTTGTGTCTGTGTGTGTTGTGAATGTGTGTGTTGTGAATGTGTGTGTGTGTTGTGAATGTGTGTGTTGTGTGTGTGTGTGTGTCGTGAATGTGTGTTGTGTGTGTGTGTCGTGAATGTGTGTTGTGTGTGTGTATGTGTGTGTGTGTCTGTGTGTGTATGTGTGTTGTGAATGTGTGTGTGTTGTGAATGTGTGTGTATGTATGTGTGTGTGTGTCTCTGTGTGTGTCGTGAGTGTGTGTGTCTCTGTGTGTGTATGTGTGTGTGTGTGTCTCTGTGTGTGTTGTGAATATGTGTGTTGTGTGTGTTGTGTCTGTGTGTGTGTCTGTGTGTGTGTTGTGAATATGTGTTGTGAATGTGTGTGTTGTGAATGTGTGTTGTGAATGTGTGTTGTGAATGTGTGTGTTGTGAATGTGTGTGTTGTGAATGTGTGTGTTGTGAATGTGTGTGTTGTGTGTTGTGAATGTGTGTGTTGTGAATGTGTGTGTTGTGTGTGTGTGTTGTGAATATGTGTGTTGTGTGTGTGTGTTGTGAATATGTGTGTTGTGTGTGTGTGTTGTGAATGTGTGTGTTGTGAATGTGTGTGTTGTGAATGTGTGTGTTGTGAATGTGTGTGTGTATGTGTTTGTTGTGAATGTGTGTGGTGTGTGTGTATGTGTGTGTCTGTGTGTGTCTGTGTCTGTGTGTGTTGTGAATGTGTGTGTCTGTGTCTGTGTGTGTTGTGTCTGTGTGTGTTGTGAATGTGTGTGGTGTCTGTGTCTGTGTGTGTTGTGAATGTGTGTGTCTGTGTGTGTTGTGAATGTGTGTGTTGTGAATGTGTGTTGTGTCTGTGTGTGTGTGTTGTGTGTGTGTGTGTCTGTGTGTGTGTGTTGTGAATGTGTGTTGTGTCTGTGTGTGTCTATGTGTGTTGTGAATGTGTGTGTTGTGAATGTGTGTGTATGTGTGTGTTGTGAATGTGTGTCTGTGTGTGTTGTGAATGTGTGTGTCTGTGTGTGTGTGTTTGTTGTGAATGTGTGTGTGTATGTGTGTATGTGTGTGTGTTGTGAATATGTGTGTGTATGTGTGTATGTGTGTGTGTTGTGAATATGTGTGTTGTGTGTGTGTGTTGTGAATATGTGTGTTGTGTGTGTGTGTTGTGAATGTGTGTGTGTGTGTGTGTGTTGTGTATGTGTGTGTGTTGTGAATGTGTGTTGTGTGTGTGTGTTGTGTGTGTGTGTTGTGAATGTGTGTGTTGTGAATGTGTGTGTCTGTGTGTGTGTGTGTTGTGAATGTGTGTTGTGAATGTTTGTGAATGTGTGTGTTGTGAATGTGTGTGGTGTGTGTGTGTGTGTTGTGTGTGTGTTGTGAATGTGTGTGTTGTGTGTGTGTGTTGTGAATGTGTGTGTTGTGTGTGTGTGTTCTGAATGTGTGTGTTGTGAATGTGTGTGTATGTGTTTGTTGTGAATGTGTGTGGTGTGTGTGTATGTGTGTGTCTGTGTCTGTGTGTGTTGTGAATGTGTGTGTTGTGAATGTGTGTGTCTGTGTGTGTTGTGAATGTGTGTGTCTGTGTGTGTGTGTGTTGTGAATGTGTGTGGTGTGTGTGTATGTATGTGTGTGTCTGTGTCTGTGTGTGTTGTGAATGTGTGTGTCTGTGTCTGTGTGTGTTGTGAATGTGTGTGTTGTGAATGTGTGTATGTGTGTGTGTGTCTCTGTGTGTGTATGTGTGTGTCTGTGTGTGTTGTGAATGTGTGTCTGTGTGTGTTGTGTGTGTCTGTGTGTGTTTTGAATGTGTGTGTTGTGTGTGTGTGTGTGTCTCTGTGTGTGTATGTGTATGTGTGTGTTGTGAATGTGTGTTGTGAATGTGTGTGTTGTGAATGTGTGTGTGTGTTGTGAATGTGTGTGTGTGTCTCTGTGTGTGTTGTGAATGTGTGTGTGTCTGTGTGTGTTGTGTCTGTGTGTGTGTCTGTGTGTGTGTTGTGAATGTGTGTCTGTGTGTGTGTGTGTTGTGTCTGTGTGTGTTGTGAATGTGTGTGTTGTGAATGTGTGTCTGTGTGTGTGTCTGTGTGTGTGTGTGGTGCAGGCCGCCTACTGCCAGCACATTGGGGTTGAGTTTATGTTCATCAATGACCTGGAGCAGTGTCAGTGGATCCGTCAAAAGTTCGAGACTCCCGGAGTGATGCAGCTGAGCAACGAGGAGAGACGTACACTACTGGCACGACTCGTCCGCTCAACCCAGTCAGTCACCCTTCATATAGTCACCCTTCACAGAGTCACAGAGTCACCCTTCACAGAGTCACCCTTCACAGAGTCACCCTTCACAGAGTCACCCTTCACAGAGTCACAGAGTCACCCTTCACAGAGTCACCCTTCACAGAGTCACAGAGTCACCCTTCACAGAGTCACCCTTCACAGAGTCACAGAGTCACCCTTCACAGAGTCACCCTTCACAGAGTCACAGAGTCACCCTTCACAGAGTCACCCTTCACAGAGTCACCCTTCACAGAGTCACAGAGTCACCCTTCACAGAGTCACCCTTCACAGAGTCACCCTTCACAGAGTCACCCTTCACAGGAGAGACGTACACTGCTGGCACGACTCGTCTGCTCAACCCAGTCAGTCAGAGGGTCACCCTTCACAGAGTCACCCTTCATATAGTCGCCCTTCACAGAGTCACCCTTCACAGAGTCACAGAGTCACCCTTCACAGAGTCACCCTTCACAGAGTCACCCTTCACAGAGTCACAGAGTCACCCTTCACAGAGTCACCCTTCACAGAGTCACAGAGTCACCCTTCACAGAGTCACCCTTCACAGAGTCACAGAGTCACCCTTCACAGAGTCACCCTTCACAGAGTCACAGAGTCACCCTTCACAGAGTCACCCTTCACAGAGTCACCCTTCACAGAGTCACAGAGTCACCCTTCACAGAGTCACCCTTCACAGAGTCACAGAGTCACCCTTCACAGAGTCACCCTTCACAGAGTCACAGAGTCACCCTTCACAGAGTCACCCTTCACAGAGTCACAGAGTCACCCTTCACAGAGTCACCCTTCACAGAGTCACCCTTCACAGAGTCACAGAGTCACCCTTCACAGAGTCACCCTTCACAGAGTCACCCTTCACAGAGTCACCCTTCACAGGAGAGACGTACACTACTGCACGACTCGTCCGCTCAACCCAGTCAGTCAGAGGGTCACCCTTCACAGAGTCACCCTTCACAGAGTCACAGAGTCACCCTTCACAGAGTCACCCTTCATATAGTCGCCCTTCACAGAGTCACCCTTCACAGAGTCACAGAGTCACCCTTCACAGAGTCACCCTTCATATAGTCACCCTTCACAGAGTCACAGAGTCACCCTTCACAGAGTCACCCTTCACAGAGTCACCCTTCACAGAGTCACAGAGTCACCCTTCACAGAGTCACCCTTCACAGAGTCACAGAGTCACCCTTCACAGAGTCACCCTTCACAGTCACCCTTCACAGAGTCACCCTTCACAGAGTCACCCTTCACAGAGTCACAGAGTCACCCTTCACAGAGTCACCCTTCACAGAGTCACCCTTCACAGAGTCACAGAGTCACCCTTCACAGAGTCACCCTTCACAGAGTCACAGAGTCACCCTTCACAGAGTCACCCTTCACAGAGTCACAGAGTCACCCTTCACAGAGTCACCCTTCACAGAGTCACAGAGTCACCCTTCACAGAGTCACCCTTCACAGAGTCACAGAGTCACCCTTCACAGAGTCACCCTTCACAGAGTCACAGAGTCACCCTTCACAGAGTCACCCTTCACAGAGTCACAGAGTCACCCTTCACAGAGTCACCTTTCACAGAGTCACAGAGTCACCCTTCACAGAGTCACAGAGTCACCCTTCACAGAGTCACAGAGTCACCCTTCACAGAGTCACCCTTCACAGAGTCACAGAGTCACCCTTCACAGAGTCACCCTTCACAGAGTCACCCTTCACAGAGTCACCCTTCACAGAGTCACAGAGTCACCCTTCACAGAGTCACCCTTCACAGAGTCACCCTTCACAGAGTCACAGAGTCACCCTTCACAGAGTCACCCTTCACAGAGTCACCCTTCACAGAGTCACAGAGTCACCCACAGAGTCACTCTTCACAGAGTCACCCTTCACAGAGTCAGTCACCCTTCACAGAGTCACCCTTCACAGAGTCACCCACAGAGTCACAGAGTCACCCACAGAGTCACAGAGTCACCCACAGAGTCGGAGTCACGTTTCACAGAGTCACCCTTCACAGAGTCACCCTTCATAGAGTCACCCTTCATAGAGTCACCCACAGAGTCACCCACAGAGTCACCCACAGAGTCGGAGTCACGTTTCACAGAGTCACCCTTCACAGAGTCACCCACAGAGTCACAGAGTCACCCACAGAGTCAGAGTCACCCACAGAGTCACCCCTTCACAGAGTCACACTTCACAGAGTCACCCACAGAGTCACCCACAGAGTCACCCACAGAGTCACCCACAGAGTCACCCTTCACAGAGTCACCCTTCACAGAGTCACCCACAGAGTCACAGAGTCACCCACAGAGTCACCCACAGAGTCACCCTTCACAGAGTCACAGAGTCACCCACAGAGTCACCCACAGAGTCACCCACAGAGTCACCCACAGAGTCACCCTTCACAGAGTCACCCACAGAGTCACAGAGTCACCCACAGAGTCGGAGTCACGTTTCACAGAGTCACCCTTCACAGAGTCACCCTTCATAGAGTCACCCTTCATAGAGTCACCCACAGAGTCACCCACAGAGTCACCCACAGAGTCGGAGTCACGTTTCACAGAGTCACCCTTCACAGAGTCACCCACAGAGTCACAGAGTCACCCACAGAGTCACAGAGTCACCCACAGAGTCACCCCTTCACAGAGTCACACTTCACAGAGTCACCCACAGAGTCACCCACAGAGTCACCCACAGAGTCACCCACAGAGTCACAGAGTCACCCACAGAGTCACCCACAGATTCACCCTTCACAGAGTCACAGAGTCACCCACAGAGTCACCCACAGAGTCACCCACAGAGTCACCCACAGAGTCACCCACAGAGTCACCCTTCACAGAGTCACCCACAGAGTCACAGAGTCACAGAGTCACCCACAGAGTCACCCTTCACAGAGTCACAGAGTCACCCTTCACAGAGTCACCCACAGAGTCACCCACAGAGTCACAGAGTCACCCACAGAGTCACCCTTCACAGAGTCACAGAGTCACCCACAGAGTCACAGAGTCACCCACAGAGTCACCCACAGAGTCACCCACAGAGTCACAGAGTCACCCACAGAGTCACCCTTCACAGAGTCACAGAGTCACCCACAGAGTCACAGAGTCACCCTTCACAGAGTCACCCACAGAGTCACCCTTCACAGAGTCACAGAGTCACCCACAGAGTCACAGAGTCACCCTTCACGGAGTCACCCACAGAGTCACCCTTCACAGAGTCACAGAGTCACCCACAGAGTCACCCTTCACAGAGTCACCCACAGAGTCACCCACAGAGTCACCCACAGAGTCACAGAGTCACCCACAGAGTCACCCTTCACAGAGTCACAGAGTCACCCACAGAGTCACAGAGTCACCCACAGAGTCACCCACAGAGTCACCCACAGAGTCACCCACAGAGTCACAGAGTCACCCACAGAGTCACCCTTCACAGAGTCACAGAGTCACCCTTCACAGAGTCACAGAGTCACCCTTCACAGAGTCACAGAGTCACCCTTCACAGAGTCACCCACAGAGTCACCCTTCACAGAGTCACCCACAGAGTCACCCTTCACAGAGTCACAGAGTCACCCACACAGTCACCCACAGAGTCACAGAGTCACCCACAGAGTCACCCTTCACAGAGTCACCCCCTCTCTGTGTGTGTGTGTGCAGGTTTGAGGAGTTCCTAGCTAAGAAGTTTGCTTCTGAGAAGCGTTTTGGCGTTGAGGGCTGTGAGTCGCTCATCCCAGCCCTCAAGACGCTGGTCGATACCTCCAGCGCCATGGGCATCGACTCCATCATCATGGGCATGCCCCACAGGTGGACAACCACTCCACCATCACCACCACCACCTCCACCAGCATCACCACCTCCACCACTACCATCATCACCACCACTACCACCATCATCACCACCTCCACCACTACCATCATCACCACCACCACCATCATCACCTCCACCTCCACCACCACCACTACCATCATCACCTCCACCATCATCACCACCTCCACCACTACCACCATCACCACCTCCACGACCACCTCCACCACCACCACTACCATCATCACCTCCACCATCATCACCACCACCTCCACCACCACCTCCACCACCACCACTACCATCATCACCAACACCACCTCCACCACCTCCATCACCACCTCCACCACCATCACCACCTCCACCACCTCCACCACCACCACCTCCACCACCACCTCCACCACCACCATCACCACCTCCACCACCTCCTCCACCACCATCACCACCATCACCACCTCCACCACCTCCACCACCACCACCTCCACCACCTCCACCACCATCACCACCTCCACCACCTCCACCACCACCTCCACCACCTTCACCACCACCACCACCACAACCTCCACCACCATCACTGCCACCATCACCACCACCTCCACCTCCACCATCATCACCACTACCATCATCACCACCTCCACCACCACCATCATCACCTCCACCATCATCACAACTACCATCATCACCTCCACCATCACCACTACTATGATCACCATCACTACCACCACCATCACTTTGTCTTTGTCTCTCTCTCTTGCCGTGTCTCTGTCTTACCCTGTCTCTCTCTCTCTCTCCGTGTCTCTCTCTCCCCGTGTCTCTCTCTCCCCGTGTCTCTCTCTCCCCGTGTGTCTCTCTCTCTCTCACCGTGTCTCTCTCTCCCCGTGTCTCTCTCTCCCCGTGTCTCTCTCTCCCCGTGTCTCTCTCTCCCCGTGTCTCTCTCCCCGTGTCTCTCTCTCCCAGTGTCTCTCTCTCCCTCCCCATGTCTCTCTCTCTCTCATCGTGTCTCTCTCTCCCCGTGTCTCTCTCTCCCCGTGTCTCTCTCTCCCCGTGTCTCTCTCCCCGTGTCTCTCCCCGTGTCTCTTTCTCCCCGTGTCTCTCTCTCCCCGTGTCTCTCTCCCCCCGTGTCTCTCTTCCCCCGTGTCTCTCTCCCCCCGTGTCTCTCTCCCCCCGTGTCTCTCTCTCCCCGTGTCTCTCTCTCCCCGTGTCTCTCTCTCCCCGTGTCTCTCTCTCCCCGTGTCTCTCTCCCCGTGTCTCTCTCTCTCTCCCCGTGTCTCTCTCTCCCCACGTGTCTCTCTCTCTCCCCGTGTCTCTCTCTCCCCGTGTCTCTCTCTCCACGTGTCTCTCTTTCCCCGTGTCTCTCTCCCCGTGTCTCTCTCCTCCCTATGTCTCTCTCTCTCTCTCCCCGTGTCTCTCTCTCCCCGTGTCTCTCTCTCTGTCCCCGTGTCTCTCTCTCTCTCTCCCCGTGTCTCTCTCTCTCTCTCCCCGTGTCTCTCTCTCTCACCGTGTCTCTCTCTCCCCGTGTCTCTCTCTCCCCGTGTCTCTCTCTCCCCGTGTCTCTCTCTCCCCGTGTCTCTCTCTCCCCGTGTCTCTCTCTCCCCGTGTCTCTCTCTCTCTCTCCGTGTCTCTCTCTCTCCCCGTGTCTCTCTCTCACCGTGTGTCTCTCTCTCCCCGTGTCTCTCTCTCCCCGTGTCTCTCTCTCCCCGTGTCTCTCTCTCCCCGTGTCTCTCTCTCTCTCCCCGTGTCTCTCTCTCCCCGTGTCTCTCTCTCCCCGTGTCTCTCTCCCCGTGTCTCTCTCCCCCCGTGTCTCTCTCTCCCCGTGTCTCTCTCGCCCCGTGTCTCTCTCCCCCCGTGTCTCTCTCTCCCCGTGTCTCTCTCCCCGTGTCTCTCTCCTCCCTATGTCTCTCTCTCTCTCCCCGTGTCTCTCTCTCCCCGTGTCTCTCTCTCCCCGTGTCTCTCTCTCTCCCCGTGTCTCTCTCTCACTGTGTGTCTCTCTCCCCGTGTCTCTCTCTCCCCGTGTCTCTCTCTCCCCGTGTCTCTCTCTCCCCGTGTCTCTCTCTCCCTGTGTCTCTCTCTCCCTGTGTCTCTCTCTCCCCGTGTCTCTCTCTCCCCGTGTCTCTCTCTCCACGTGTCTCTCTCTCCCCGTGTCTCTCTCCCCGTGTCTCTCTCTCCGTGTCTCTCTCTCTTCCCGTGTCTCCCTCTCCCCGTGTCTCTCTCTCCCCGTGTCTCTCTCTCTCCCCGTGTCTCTCTCTCCCCGTGTCTCTCTCTCCTTGTGTCTCTCTCTCCCCGTGTCTCTCTCTCCCCGTGTCTCTCTCTCCCCGTGTCTCTCTCTCCCCGTGTCTCTCTCTCCCCCCGTGTCTCTCTCTCCCCGTGTCTCTCTCTCCCCGTGTCTCTCTCTCTCCCCGTGTCTCTCTCTCCCCGTGTCTCTCTCTCCCCGTGTCTCTCTCTCCCCGTGTCTCTTTCTCCCCGTGTCTCTCTCTCTCTCTCCCCCCCGTGTCTCTCTCTCTCTCTCCCCGTGTCTCTCTCTCTCTCCCCGTGTCTCTCTCTCTCTCCCCGTGTCTCTCTCTCTCTCCCCCCGTGTCTCTCTCTCTCCGTGTCTCTCTCTCTCCCCGTGTCTCTCTCTCTCTCCGTGTCTCTCTCTCTCCCCGTGTCTCTCTCTCCCCGTGTCTCTCTCTCTCTCCCCGTGTCTCTCTCTCCCCGTGTCTCTCTCCCCGTGTTTTTTCTCCCCGTGTCTCTCTCTCCCCGTGTCTCTCTCTCCCCGTGTCTCTCTCTCCCCGTGTCTCTCTCTCCCCGTGTCTCTCTCCCCGTGTCTCTCCCCGTGTCTCTCTCTCCCCGTGTCTCTCTCTCCCCGTGTCTCTCTCTCCACGTGTCTCTCTCTCCCCGTGTCTCTCTCCCCGTGTCTCTCTCTCTCTCCCCGTGTCTCTCTCTCTCCCCGTGTCTCTCTCTCCCCGTGTCTCTCTCTCCCCCCGTCTCTCTCTCTCCCCGTGTCTGTCTCTCCCCGTTTATCTCCCCGTGTCTCTCTCTCTCTCCCCCCGTGTCTCTCTCTCCGTGTCTCTCTCTCCCCGTTTATCTCCCCGTGTCTCTCTCTCTCCCCGTGCCTCTCTCCCAGGGGGCGTCTCAACGTCCTGGCTAACGTCATCCGCAAGGAGCTGGAGCAGATCTTCTGTCAGTTTGAGTCGAAGCTGGAGGCAGCCGACGAGGTGACGAAGGCGACGAAGGCGACACGCCCTCACCCTGTGCTGGCACCACCCCCCACGTCTCCACCCTCACCCTGTGCTGGCACCACCCCCCACGTCTCCACCCTCACCCTGTGCTGGCACCACCCCCCACGTCTCCGCCCTCACCCTGTGCTGGCACCACCCCCCACGTCTCCACCCTCACCCTGTGCTGGCACCACCCCCCACGTCTCCACCCTCACCCTGTGCTGGCACCACCTCCCACGTCTCCGCCCTCACCCTGTGCTGGCACCACCCCCCACGTCTCCGCCCTCACCCTGTGCTGGCACCACCCCCCACGTCTCCACCCTCACCCTGTGCTGGCACCACCCCCCACGTCTCCACCCTCACCCTGTGCTGGCACCACCCCCCACGTCTCCGCCCTCACCCTGTGCTGGCACCACCCCCCACGTCTCCACCCTCACCCTGTGCTGGCACCACCCCCCACGTCTCCACCCTCACCCTGTGCTGGCACCACCCCCCACGTCTCCACCCTCACCCTGTGCTGGCACCACCCCCCACGTCTCCACCCTCACCCTGTGCTGGCACCACCCCCCACGTCTCCACCCTCACCCTGTGCTGGCACCACCCCCCACGCCTCCACCCTCACCCTGTGCTGGCACCACCCCCCACGTCTCCTCCCTCACCCTGTGCTGGCACCACCCCCCCACGTCTCCACCCTCACCCTGTGCTGGCACCACCCCCCACGTCTCCACCCTCACCCTGTGCTGGCACCACCCCCCACGTCTCCGCCCTCACCCTGTGCTGGCACCACCCCCCACGTCTCCACCCTCACCCTGTGCTGGCACCACCCCCCACGTCTCCACCCTCACCCTGTGCTGGCACCACCCCCCACGCCTCCGCCCTCACCCTGTGCTGGCACCACCCCCCACGTCTCCACCCTCACCCTGTGCTGGCACCACCCCCCCACGTCTCCTCCCTCACCCTGTGCTGGCACCACCCCCCACGTCTCCGCCCTCACCCTGTGCTGGCACCACCCCCCACGTCTCCGCCCTCACCCTGTGCTGGCACCACCCCCCACGCCTCCTCCCTCACCCTGTGCTGGCACCACCCCCCACGTCTCCGCCCTCACCCTGTGCTGGCACCACCCCCCCCGTCACCGCCCTCACCCTGTGCTGGGACCACCCCCCACGCCTCCTCCCTCACCCTGTGCTGGCACCACCCCCCACGTCTCCGCCCTCACCCTGTGCTGGCACCACCCCCCACGCCTCCTCCCTCACCCTGTGCTGGCACCACCCCCCACGTCTCCGCCCTCACCCTGTGCTGGCACCACCCCCCACGTCTCCACCCTCACCCTGTGCTGGCACCACCCCCCACGTCTCCGCCCTCACCCTGTGCTGGCACCACCCCCCACGTCTCCCCCCTCACCCTGTGCTGGCACCACCCCCCACGTCTCCGCCCTCACCCTGTGCTGGCACCACCCCCCACGTCTCCACCCTCACCCTGTGCTGGCACCACCCCCCAACGTCTCCACCCTCACCCTGTGCTGGCACCACCCCCCACGTCTCCGCCCTCACCCTGTGCTGGCACCACCCCCCACGTCTCCACCCTCACCCTGTGCTGGCACCACCCCCCACGTCTCCGCCCTCACCCTGTGCTGGCACCACTCCCCACGTCTCCGCCCTCACCCTGTGCTGGCACCACCCCCCACGTCTCCACCCTCACCCTGTGCTGGCACCACCCCCCAACGTCTCCACCCTCACCCTGTGCTGGCACCACCCCCCACGTCTCCACCCTCACCCTGTGCTGGCACCACCCCCCACGTCTCCACCCTCACCCTTGCCTGCTGCTCGCTCGCTCACCGCTCGCTCACCGCTCACTCACCCACCCACTCACCCACTCACCCACTCACCCACCCACTCACTCACCCACTCACCCACTTACCCACTCACTCACCCACCCACCCACTCACCCACTCACTCACCTACCCACTCACCCACTCACCCACCCACTCACTCACTCACCCACTTACCCATTCACTCACCCACCCACTCACCCACCCACTCACCCACTCACCCACTCACCCACTCACCCACTCACCCACCCACCCACTCACCCACTCACTCACCCACCCACTCACCCACTCACTCACCCATGCACCCACCCACCCACCCACCCACCCACCCTGTCACCCCCAGGGCTCTGGCGATGTGAAGTATCACCTGGGCATGTATCATGAGCGTATCAACCGCGTCACCAACCGGGACATTACCCTGTCCCTGGTGGCGAACCCATCCCACCTTGAGGCGGTGGATCCCGTGGTGCAGGGCAAGACCAAGGCGGAGCAGTTCTACCGTGGGGACACGGAGGGAAAGAGGGTGAGCAGTCTGGTGGTGAGGGTGGTGAGGGTGGTGAGCAGTCTGGTGGTGAGGGTGGTGAGGGTGGTGAGCAGTCTGGTGGTGAGGGTGGTGAGGGTGGTGAGGGTGTGGTGAGCAGTCTGGTGGTGAGGGTGGTGAGGGTGGTGAGCAGTCTGGTGGTGAGGGTGGTGAGGGTGGTGAGGGTGGTGAGGGTGGTGAGCAGTCTGGTGGTGAGGGTGGTGAGGGTGGTGAGGGTGGTGAGCAGTCTGGTGGTGAGGGTGGTGAGGGTGGTGAGGGTGGTGAGCAGTCTGGTGGTGAGGGTGGTGAGGGTGGTGAGGGTGGTGAGGGTGTGGTGAGGGTGTGGTGAGGGTTGTGAGGGTGGTGAGGGTGTGGTGAGTGTGTGGGGTGGTGAGTGTGGTGAGGGTGGTGAGTGTGGTGAGGGTGGTGAGGGTGTGGTGAGTGTGTGGGGGGGTGAGGGTGGTGAGTGTGTGGTGAGGGTGGTGAGGGTGGTGAGGGTGGTGAGCAGTCTGGTGATGGGGGTGGTGAGGGTGGTGAGGGTGGTGAGGGTGGTGAGGGTGGTGAGCAGTCTGGTGGTGAGGGTGGTGATGGTGGTGAGGGTGGTGAGGGTGGTGAGGGTGGTGAGGGTGGTGAGCAGTCTGGTGATGGGGGGTGGTGAGGGTGGTGAGTGTGGTGAGTGTGTGAGATGGTGAGGGTGGTGAGGGTGTGGGGTGGTGAGGGTTGTGAGGGTGGTGAGGGTGGTGAGGGTGGTGAGTGAGCAGTTTGTGTGTCTCTGTGTCTCTGTGTGTGTCTCTGTGTCTCTGTGTGTGTCTCTCTGTATCTCTGTGTCTCTGTGTGTGTGTCTCTCTGTGTCTCTGTGTGTCTCTCTGACTCTGTGTCTCTCTGTGTGTGTCTCTCTGACTCTGTGTCTCTGTGTCTCTGTCTGACTCTCTCTGTGTCTCTCTGTGTCTCTGTGTGTGCCTCTCTGTGTCTCTGTGTGTGTGTCTCTGTGTCTCTGTCTGACTCTCTCTGTGTGTGTCTGTATCTCTGTCTGACTCTGTGTCTCTGTGTGTGTCTCTGTGTCTCTCTCTGTGTCTCTCTCTATCTCTGTGTGTGTTTGTCTGACTGTGTCTCTGTGTCTCTGTCTGACTCTCTCTGTGTGTCTCTCTGTGTCTCTGTGCGTGTCTCTATGACTCTGTGTCTCTGTGTGTGTCTCTGTGTCTCTGTGTGTCTCTCTGTGTCTCTGTGTCTCTGTGTGTGTCTGACTCTGTGTCTATGTGTGTGTCTCTTTGTATCTCTGTGTGTGTCTCTCTGTATCTCTGTGTGTGTCTCTCTGACTCTGTGTCCCTCTGTGTCTCTGTGTGTGTGTCTCTCTGTGCCTCTGTGTGTGTCTCTCTCTGTGTCTCTGTGTGTGTGTCTATCTCTGTGTCTCTGTGTGTGTCTCTCTGTGTCTCTGTCTGACTCTCTCTGTGTGTCTCTCTGTGTCTCTGTGTGTGTCTCTGTGTGTGTCTCTCTGCGTGTGTCTCTCTGTGTCTCTGTGTCTCTGTCTGACTCTCTCTGTGTGTGTGTCTCTCTGTGTCTCTGTGTGTGACTCTGTGTCTCTGTGTGTGTCTCTCTGTGTCTCTGTGTGTGTCTCTCTGTGTCTCTGTGTGTGTCTCTCTGTGTCTTTGTGTGTCTCTCTGTGCCTTTGCGTGTGTCTCTCTGTGTCTCTGTGTCTCTGTCTGACTCTCTCTGTGTGTGTCTCTCTGTGTCTCTCTGTGTCTCTGTGTCTCTGTCTGACTCTCTCTGTGTGTGTGTCTCTCTGTGTCTCTCTGTGTCCCTGTGTCTCTGTCTGACTCTCTGTGTGTGTGTCTCTCTGTGTCTCTCTGTGTATCTCTGTCTCTGTCTGACTCTCTGTGTGTATCTCTGTGTCTCTGCGTGTGTCTCTCTGTGTCTCTGTGTCTCTGTCTGACTCTCTCTGTGTGTGTGTCTCTCTGTGTCTCTGTGTGTGTCTCTGTCTCTGTCTGACTCTCTGTGTGTGTGTGTGTCTCTGTGTGTGTCTCTCTGTGTCTCTGTGTGTGTGTCTCTGTGTCTCTGTCTCTGTCTGACTCTCTGTGTGTGTGTGTGTCTCTGTGTGTGTGTCTCTGTGTCTCTGTCTGACTCTGTGTGTGTGTCTCTCTGTGTCTCTGTGTGTGTCTCTGTGTCTCTGTCTGACTCTCTGTGTGTGTGTCTCTCTGTGTCTCTGTGTGTGTCTCTGTCTGACTCTCTGTGTGTGTGTCTGTGTCTGTCTCTGTGTGTGTGTGTGTGTCTCTCTGTGTCTCTGTCTGACTCTCTGTGTGTGTCTCTCTGTGTGTGTGTGTGTGTGTCTCTGTCTGACTCTGTGTGTGTGTCTCTGTGTGTCTCTGTGTCTCTGTCTGACTCTGTGTGTGTGTGTCTCTGTGTGTGTGTGTGTCTCTGTCTGACTCTGTGTGTGTGTGTGTCTCTGTGTGTGTCTCTGTCTGACTCTGTGTGTGTGTGTGTCTGTGTCTCTGTCTGACTCTCTCTGTGTGTGTGTGTCTCTGTGTGTGTCTCTGTCTGACTCTGTGTGTGTCTCTGTGTCTCTGTCTGACTCTCTGTGTGTGTGTGTCTCTCTGTGTCTCTGTGTCTCTGTCTGACTCTCTCTGTGTGTGTGTCTCTCTGTGTCTCTGTGTCTCTGTCTGACTCTGTGTGTGTGTGTCTCTGTGTCTCTGTCTGACTCTGTGTGTGTCTCTGTGTGTGTCTGCACCAGGTGATGTCCATCTTGATGCACGGAGACGCTGCGTTTGCCGGGCAGGGCATCGTCTACGAGACGTTCCACCTCAGCGACCTCCCCTCCTACACCACGCACGGCACCATCCACGTGGTGGTGAACAACCAGGTGCTGCTGGGGGTACACACACACACAATCAAGTCTCTCACTGTCTCACTCTGTGTCTCTCTGTCTCTGTGTCTCTCAGGTGCTGCTGGGGGTACACACACACACACAATCAAGCACTCTGTCTCTCTCTCTCTCTGTCTCTCTCTGTGTCTCTGTGTCTCTCACTCACTGTCTCTCTCAGGTGGTGCTGGGGGTACACACACACACACACAATCAAGCACTCTGTGTCTCACTGTCTCACTCTGTGTCTCTCTGTCTCTCAGGTGCTGCTGGGGGTACACACACACACAATCAAGCACTCTGTGTCTCACTCTGTCTCTCACTCTTTGTCTCTCTGTCTCTCAGGTGCTGCTGGGGGTACACACACACACAATCAAGCACTCTGTGTCTCACTCTGTCTCTCACTCTGTGTCTCTCTGTGTCTCTCACTCTGTGTCTCTGTGTCTCTCTGTCTCTCACTCTGTGTCTCTCTGTGTCTCTCACTCTGTGTCTCTCTGTGTCTCTCTGTCTCTCAGGTGGTGCTGGGGGTACACACACACAATCAAGCACTCTGTCTCTCACTGTCTCACTCTGTGTCTCTGTGTCTCTCTGTCTCACTGTCTCTCACTCTGTGTCTCTCTGTGTCTCTGTGTCTCTGTCTCTCTGTCTCTCTGTGTCTCTCTGTCTCTCACTCTGTGTCTCTCTGTGCCTCTGTGTCTCTCACTCTGTGTCTCTCTGTGTCTCTGTGTCTCTCACTCTGTGTCTCTCTGTGTCTCTGTGTCTCTGTGTCTCTGTCTCTCTGTGTCTCTGTGTCTCTCTGTCTCTCACTCTGTGTCTCTCTGTGTCTCTCACTCTGTGTCTCTCTGTGTCTCTCACTCTGTGTCTCTCTGTCTCTCAGGTGCTGCTGGGGGTACACACACACAATCAAGCACTCTGTCTCTCACTGTCTCACTCTGTGTCTCTGTGTCTCTCTGTGTCTCTCACTCACTGTCTCACTCTGTGTCTTTCTGTGTCTCTCTGTGTCTCTCTGTGTCTCTGTGTCTCTCTGTCTCTCTGTCTCTCTCACTCTGTCTCTCACTGTCACTCTGTGTCTCTCTCAGGTGGTGCTGGGGGTACACACACACATCAAGCACTCTGTCTCTCACTGTCTCTCTGTCTCTCTGTGTCTGTGTGTCTCTGTCTCTCTGTGTCTCTGTGTCTCTCTGTCTCTCACTCTGTGTCTCTCTGTGTCTCTCACTCTGTGTCTCTCTCAGGTGGCTGCTGGGGGTACACACACACACAATCAAGCACTCTGTCTCTCACTGTCTCACTCTGTGTCTCTCTGTGTCTCTGTCTCTGTCTCTCTGTGTCTCTGTCTCTCTCTGTGTCTCTGTGTCTCTCTGTCTCTCTGTGTCTCTGTGTCTCTCACTCTGTCTCTCACTCTGTCTCTCACTCACTGTCTCTCTGTCTCTCACTCACTGTCTCTCACTGTGTCTCTGTCTCTCTGTCTCTCTCAGGTGGCTGCTGGGGGTACACACACACACATCAAGCACTCTGTCTCTGTCTCTCTGTCTCTCTGTGTCTCACTCTGTCTCACTGTCTCACTGTGTCTCTCACTCTGTGTCTCTCTGTCTCTCTGTGTCTCTGTGTCTCTCACTGTCTCTCTGTCTCTCACTGTCTCACTGTCTCACTGTCTCACTCTGTGTCTCTCACTGTCTCACTGTCTCACTCTGTGTCTCTCACTGTCTCACTGTCTCACTCTGTGTCTCTCTGTGTCTCTCAGGTGGCTGCTGGGGGTACACACACACACATCAAGCACTCTGTCTCTGTCTCTCTGTCTCTCTGTCTCTCTGTCTCACTGTCTCTCACTGTATCTCTCACTCTGTCTCTCACTCTGTCTCTCACTCACTGTCTCACTCTGTGTCTCTCTGTCTCTCACTCACTGTCTCTCTCACTCTGTGTCTTTGTGCCTCTCTGTCTCTCTCACTCTGTGTCTTTGTGTCTCTCTGTGTCTCTCACTCTGTGTCTCTCTGTCTCTTTGTCTCTCTCACTCTGTGTCTCTCTGTCTCTCTGTGTCTCTCATTCTGTGTCTCTCTGTCTCTCTGTGTCTCTCACTCTGTGTCTTTCTGTGTCTCTCACTCTGTGTCTCTCTGTCTCTCTGTGTCTCTCATTCTGTGTCTCTCTGTCTCTCTGTGTCTCTCACTCTGTGTCTCTCTGTGTCTCTCTGTGTCTCTCATTCTGTGTCTCTCTCTCTCTCTCTCTCTGTGTCTCTCACTCTGTGTCTCTCTGTGTCTCTCACTCTGTGTCTCTCACTCTGTGTCTCTCTGTCTCTCACTCTGTGTCTCTGTGTCTCTCACTCTGTGTCTGTCACTCTCTGTCTCTCACTCTGTGTCTCTCTGTCTCTCACTCTGTGTCTCTCTGTCTCTCACTCTGTGTCTCTCTGTCTCTCACTCTGTGTCTCTGTGTCTGTCACTCACTGTCTCACTCTGTGTCTCTCTGTCTCTCTCAGGTGGTGCTGGGGGTAGACACACACACACATCAAGCACTCTGTCTCTCACTGTCTCACTGTGTCTCTGTGTCTCTGTGTCTCTGTGTCTCTCTGTCTCTCTGTCTCTCTGTGTCTCTGTGTCTCTCACTCTGTCTCTCACTCTGTCTCTCACTCACTGTCTCTCTGTCTCTCACTCACTGTCTCTCACTGTGTCTCTGTCTCTCTGTCTCTCTCAGGTGGCTGCTGGGGGTACACACACACACATCAAGCACTCTGTCTCTGTCTCTCTGTCTCTCTGTGTCTCACTCTGTCTCACTGTCTCACTGTGTCTCTCACTCTGTGTCTCTCTGTCTCTCTGTGTCTCTGTGTCTCTCACTGTCTCTCTGTCTCTCACTGTCTCACTGTCTCACTGTCTCACTCTGTGTCTCTCACTGTCTCACTGTCTCACTCTGTGTCTCTCACTGTCTCACTGTCTCACTCTGTGTCTCTCTGTGTCTCTCAGGTGGCTGCTGGGGGTACACACACACACATCAAGCACTCTGTCTCTGTCTCTCTGTCTCTCTGTCTCTGTCTCTCTGTCTCACTGTCTCTCACTGTATCTCTCACTCTGTCTCTCACTCACTGTCTCACTCTGTGTCTCTCTGTCTCTCACTCACTGTCTCTCTCACTCTGTGTCTTTGTGCCTCTCTGTCTCTCTCACTCTGTGTCTTTGTGTCTCTCTGTGTCTCTCACTCTGTGTCTCTCTGTCTCTCTGTCTCTCTCACTCTGTGTCTCTCTGTCTCTCTGTGTCTCTCATTCTGTGTCTCTCTGTCTCTCTGTGTCTCTCACTCTGTGTCTTTCTGTGTCTCTCACTCTGTGTCTCTCTGTCTCTCTGTGTCTCTCATTCTGTGTCTCTCTGTCTCTCTGTGTCTCTCACTCTGTGTCTCTCTGTGTCTCTCTGTGTCTCTCATTCTGTGTCTCTCTCTCTCTCTCTCTGTGTCTCTCACTCTGTGTCTCTCTGTGTCTCTCACTCTGTGTCTCTCACTCTGTGTCTCTCTGTCTCTCACTCTGTGTCTCTGTGTCTCTCACTCTGTGTCTGTCACTCTCTGTCTCTCACTCTGTGTCTCTCTGTCTCTCACTCTGTGTCTCTCTGTCTCTCACTCTGTGTCTCTCTGTCTCTCACTCTGTGTCTCTGTGTCTGTCACTCACTGTCTCACTCTGTGTCTCTCTGTCTCTCTCAGGTGGTGCTGGGGGTAGACACACACACACATCAAGCACTCTGTCTCTCACTGTCTCACTGTGTCTCTGTGTCTCTGTGTCTCTGTGTCTCTCACTGTCTCACTGTCTCTGTCTCTCACTCTGTCTCTCACTGTCTATCTGTCTCTCTGTCTCTCTGTCTCTCACTGTCTCACTGTCTCTCACTGTCTCTCTGTCTCTCTGTCTCACTGTCTCACTGTCTCTCTGTCTCTCACTGTCTCACTGTCTCTCTGTCTCTCACTGCCTATCTGTCTCTCTGTCTCTCACTGTCTCACTGTCTCTCACTGTCTCTCTGTCTCTCTGTCTCACTGTCTCACTGTCTCTCTGTCTCTCACTGTCTCACTGTCTCTCACTCTGTGTCTCTCTGTCTCACTGTCTCTCTGTCTCTCACTGTCTCTCACTCTGTGTCTCTCTGTCTCACTGTCTCACTGTCTCTCTGTCTCTGTCTCTCCCCGCGTGTCTCTCTCTCACTCTGTCTCTGTCTCTCCCCGTGTGTCTCTCTGTCTCTGTCTCTGTGACTCTCCCCGCGTGTCTCTCTGTCACTGTGTCTCTGTGTCTCTCCCCGCGTGTCTCTCTCTCACTCTGTCTCTGTGTCTCTGTGTCTCTCCCCGCGTGTCTCTCTGTCACTCTGTCTCTGTGTCTCTCCCCGCGTGTCTCTCTCTCACTCTGTCTCTGTGTCTCTGTGTCTCTCCCCGCGTGTCTCTCTCTCACTCTGTCTCTGTGTCTCTCCCCGCGTGTCTCTCTGTCTCTCTGTCTCTGTCTCTGTGTGTCTCCCCGCGTGTCTCTCTCTCACTCTGTGTCTGTGTCTCTCCCCGCGTGTCTCTCTCTCTGTCTCTCTCACTCTGTCTCTCTGTCTCTCTGTCTCTGTGTGTCTCCCCGCGTGTCTCTCTCACTCTGTCTCTGTGTCTCTCCACGCGTGTCTCTCTCACTCTGTCTCTGTGTCTCTCCCCGCGTGTCTCTCTCACTCTGTCTCTGTGTCTCTCCCCGCGTGTCTCTCTCTCACTCTGTCTGTGTGTCTCTCCCCGCGTGTCTCTCTGACTCTGTCTCTGTGTCTCTCCCCGCGTGTCTCTCTCTCACTCTGTCTCTGTGTCTCTCCCCGCGTGTCTCTCTGTCTCTCTGTCTCTGTGTGTCTTCCCGCATGTCTCTCTCTCACTCTGTCTCTGTCTCTCCCCACGTGTCTCTCTGTCTCTCTGTCTCTCTCTCTGTGTCTCTCCCCGCGTGTCTCTCTCTCTCTGTCTCTCTCACTCTGTCTCTCTCTCACTCTGTGTCTGTGTCTCTCCCCGCGTGTCTCTCTCTCACTCTGTCTCTGTGTCTCTCCCCGCGTGTCTCTCTCTCACTCTGTGTCTGTGTGTCTCCCCGCGTGTCTCTCTCTCTCTGTCTCTCTCACTCTGTCTCTCTGTCTCTCTGTCTCTCTCTCTGTGTCTCTCCCCGCGTGTCTCTCTCTCTCTCTGTCTCTCTCACTCTGTCTCTCTCTCACTCTGTGTCTGTGTCTCTCCCCGCATGTCTCTCTCTTTCTCTGTGTCTGTGTGTCTCCCCGCGTGTCTCTCTGTCTCTCTCTCACTCTGTGTCTGTGTCTCTCCCCGCGTGTCTCTCTCTCACTCTGTCTCTGTGTGTCTCCCCGCGTGTCTCTCTGTCTCTCTGTCTCTCTGTCTCTCTCTGTCTCTCTCACTCTGTCTCTCTGTCTCACTCTGTGTCCGTGTGTGTCTCCCCGCGTGTCTCCCACCAGATTGGCTTCACCACGGATCCCCGTTCCTCACGCTCCTCTCCCTACTGCACTGACGTGGCCCGTGTAGTCAACGCTCCGATCTTCCACGTCAACGCTGATGACCCCGAAGCCGTGGTCTATGTCTGCCGGGTCGCCGCCGAGTGGAGGAACTGCTTCCACAAAGACGTCGTGGTGGACCTGGTGGGTGGGGGGGTGGGGTGGGGGGGTGGGGGGGGGGGTGGGTGGGGGGGTGGGTGTGTGGGGGGTGGTGTGGGTGCGGGTGTGGGTGTGTGGGGGGGTGCGTAAGTGGGTGGGTGAGTGGGTGAGTGAGTGTGTGAGTGAGTGTGTGTGTGAGTGGATGAGTGGGTGAGTGGGTGGGTGAGTGGGTGGGTGGGTGGTGAGTGAGTGGGTGGTGAGTGGGTGAGTGAGTGAGTGGGTGAGTGGGTGGTGAGTGGGTGAGTGAGTGAGTGGGTGAGTGAGTGAGTGAGTGGGTGAGTGGGTGAGCGGCTGGGTGAGTGGGTGGGTGAGTGGGTGAGTGGGTGAGTGGGTGGGTGAGTGGGTGGGTAAGTGGGTGGGTGGGTGAGTGGTGAGTGAGGTATTTGATCTGATCCTGATGGTGATACCCCGGGGTACCCAACAATACAAAATGGCCGAGGCAATTAAATATTTAATTTCTGGGACACTTTCCCAGGGGTGTACTCCACTCCACGATGTCGAAATGCCAAACAGAGTGCATCGTGTCTCTCTCTCCCCGTGTCTCTCTCTCCCCGTGTCTCTCTCTCCCCGTGTCTCTCTCTCTCTCCGTGTCTCTCTCCCCGTGTCTCTCTCTCCCCGTGTCTCTCTCTCCCCGTGTCTCTCTCTCCCCGTGTCTCTCTCTCCCCGTGTCTCTCTCTCTACGTGTCTCTCTCTCCCCGTGTCTCTCTCTCCCCGTGTCTCTCTCTCCCCGTGTCTCTCTCTCCCCGTGTCTCTCTCTCCCCGTGTCTCTCTCTCCCCGTGTCTCTCTCTCCCCGTGTCTCTCTCTCCCCGTGTCTCTCTCTCCCCGTGTCTCTCTCTCTCCCCGTGTCTCTCTCCCCGTGTCTCTCTCTCCCCGTGTCTCTCTCTCCCCGTGTCTCTCTCTCTCCGTGTCTCTCTCTCCCCGTGTCTCTCTCTCTACGTGTCTCTCTCTCCCCGTGTCTCTCTCTCCCCGTGTCTCTCTCTCCCCGTGTCTCTCTCTCCCCGTGTCTCTCTCTCCCCGTGTCTCTCTCTCCCCGTGTCTCTCTCTCCCCGTGTCTCTCTCCCCGTGTCTCTCTCTCCCCGTGTCTCTCTCTCCCCGTGTCTCTCTCTCCCCGTGTCTCTCTCTCCCCGTGTCTCTCTCTCTCCCCGTGTCTCTCTCTCCCCGTGTCTCTCTCTCCCCGTGTCTCTCTCTCCCCGTGTCTCTCTCTCTCTCCCCGTGTCTCTCTCTCCCCGTGTCTCTCTCTCCCCGTGTCTCTCTCCCCGTGTCTCTCGCTCCGTGTCTCTCTCCCCGTGTCTCTCTCCCCGTGTCTCTCTCTCTCCCCGTGTCTCTCTCTCTCCCCGTGTCTCTCTCTCTCCCCGTGTCTCTCTCTCTCCCCGTGTCTCTCTCTCTCCCCGTGTCTCTCTCTCTCCCCGTGTGTCTCTCTCTCCCCATGTGTCTCTCTCTCCCCATGTGTCTCTCTCCCCGTGTCTCTCTCTCTCCGTGTCTCTCTCTCTCTCCTCCTGTGTCTCTCTCTCTCCCCGTGTCTCTCTCTCACCCCGTGTCTCTCTCTCCCCGTGTCTCTCTCTCCGTGTGTCTCTCTCCCCGTGTCTCTGTCTCTCTCCCCCCGTGTCTCTCTCTCCCCCCGTGTCTCTCTCCCCGTGTCTCTCTCTCCCCGTGTCTCTCTCCCCGTGTCTCCCTCCGTGTCTCTCTCTCCCCCCGTGTCTCTCTCTCCCCCGTGTCTCTCCCCGTGTCTCTCTCTCTCCCCGTGTCTCTCTCTCCCCCGTGTCTCTCCCCGTGTCTCTCTCTCTCCCCGTGTCTCTCTCTCTCCCCGTGTGTGTCTCTCTCTCTCTCTCCCCGTGTCTCTCTCTCTCCCCGTGTCTCTCTCTCCCCGTGTCTCTCTCTCTCCCCGTGTCTCTCTCTCCCCGTGTCTCTCTCTCCGTGTGTCTCTCTCCCCATGTCTCTCTCTCTCTCACCGTGTCTCTCTCTCACCGTGTCTCTCTCTCCCCGTGTCTCTCTCTCACCGTGTCTCTCTCTCCCCGTGTCTCTCTCCCCGTGTCTCTCTCTCCCCGTGTCTCTCTCCCCGTGTCTCTCTCTCTCCCCGTGTCTCTCCCCCCGTGTCTCTCTCTCTCCCCGTGTCTCTCTCTCTCTCCCCGTGTTTCTCTCTCTCCCCGTGTCTCTCTCTCTCCCCGTGTGTGTCTCTCTCTCTCTCTCTCTCCCCGTGTCTCTCTCTCTCTCCCCGTGTCTCTCTCCCACCCCACCTCCGTGTGTCCAGGTGAGCTACCGCAAGAACGGCCACAACGAGGTGGACGAGCCCATGTTCACCCAGCCGCTGATGTACAAGCAGATAAAGCAGCAGGTGCCTGTACTTCGTCGCTACGCAGAGCAGCTGGTCGCCAGCGGAGTGGTCACCACTCAGGAGTTCGAGGTGAGGGTGGTGGGTGGTGTGAGGGCGATGGTTCTCTCATGCTGATGCTGATGCTGCTGCTGATGCTCGTGATTGTACTGATTATACTGATGGTGATGATGATGTTGATGATGAGTTCGAGGTGAGGGTGGTGGGTGGTGTGAGGGCGATGGTTCTCTCATGCTGATGCTGATGCTGCTGATGCTGCTGCTCGTGATTGTACTGATTATACTGATGGTGATGATGTTGATGATCCTGATGATGAGTTCGAGGTGAGGGTGGTGGATGGTGTGAGGGCGATGGCTCACTGATGCTGTTGCTGATGCTGCTGCTGATGCTGATGCTGCTGCTCGTGATTGTACTGATTATACTGATGGTGATGATGTTGATGATCCTGATGATGAGTTCGAGGTGAGGGTGGTGGATGGTGTGAGGGCGATGGCTCTCTCATGCTGATGCTGATGCTGCTGCTGATGCTGATGCTGCTGCTCGTGATTGTACTGATTATACTGATGGTGATGATGTTGATGATGATGTTGATGATCCTGATGATGAGTTCGAGGTGAGGGTGGTGAGTGGTGTGAGGGCGATGGCTCTCTCATGCTGATGCTGATGCTGCTGCTGATGCTCGTGATTGTACTGATTATACTGATGGTGATGATGTTGATGATGATGTTGATGATCCTGATGATGAGTTCGAGGTGAGGGTGGTGAGTGGTGTGAGGGCGATGGCTCTCTCATGCTGATGCTGATGCTGCTGCTGCTCGTGATTGTACTGATTATACTGATGGTGATGATGTTGATGATCCTGATGATGAGTTCGAGGTGAGGGTGGTGGGTGGGGGTAGGGCGATGGCTCTCTCATGCTGATGCTGATGCTGCTGCTGATGCTCGTGATTGTACTGATTATACTGATGGTGATGATGTTGATGATGATGTTGATGATCCTGATGATGAGTTCGAGGTGAGGGTGGTGAGTGGTGTGAGGGCGATGGCTCTCTCATGCTGATGCTGATGCTGCTGCTGCTCGTGATTGTACTGATTATACTGATGGTGATGATGTTGATGATCCTGATGATGAGTTCGAGGTGAGGGTGGTGGGTGGGGGTAGGGCGATGGCTCTCTCATGCTGATGCTGATGCTGCTGCTGATGCTCGTGATTGTACTGATTATACTGATGGTGATGATGTTGATGATGATGTTGATGATCCTGATGATGAGTTCGAGGTGAGGGTGGTGGGTGGGGGTAGGGCGATGGCTCTCTCATGCTGATGCTGCTGCTCGTGATTGTACTGATGATGATGGTGATGATGTTGATGATCCTGATGATGATGTTGATGATGATGCTACTGATGATGGCGATGTTACTGATGATGATGATGGTGCTACTGATGATGATCCTGATGATGATGATGATGGTGCTACTGATGATGGTGCTTCTGATGATGATGGTGCTACTGATGATGATGCTACTGATGATGATGATAATGATGATGATGATGTTGATGATGCTTCTGATGATGGTGCTACTGATGATGATGGTGCTACTGATGATGGTGCTACTGATGATGATGATGCTTCTGATGATGTTGATGATCCTGATGATGATGATGATGTTGATGATGCTTCTGATGTTGATGATGCTTCTGATGTTGATGATGCTTCTGATGATGATGGTGTTACTGATGATGATGCTACTGATGATGATGGTGCTGCTGATGATGATGATGCTACTGATGATGATGGTGATGATGCTACTGATGATGGTGATGATGCTTCTGATGATGATGGTGCTACTGATGATGATGATGCTACTGATGATGATGATGCTACTGATGGTGATGATGTTTCTGATGATGATGCTACTGATGATGATGCTGCTACTGATGATGATGGTGCTACTGATGATGGTGCTACTGATGATGATGGTGCTACTGATGATGATATTGATGATCCTGATGATGATGATGATGCTGATGATGATGCTACTAATGATGATGATGGTGCTACTGATAATGATGGTGCTACTGATGATGATGCTACTGATGATGATGGTGATGATGCTACTGATGGTGATGATGCTTCTGATAATGATGGTGCTACTGATGATGATGCTACTGATGATGATGATGATGCTACTGATGGTGATGATGCGACTGATGATGCTACTGATGATGATGCTACTGATGATGCTACTGATGTTGATGATGCTACTGATGATGATGCTACTGATGATGATGATGGTGCTACTGATAATGATGGTGCTACTGATGATGATGCTACTGATGATGATGGTGATGATGCTACTGATGGTGATGATGCTTCTGATAATGATGGTGCTACTGATGATGATGCTACTGATGATGATGATGATGATGCTACTGATGGTGATGATGCTTCTGATGATGATGATGATGCTACTGATGATGATGATGATGCTACTGATGATGATGATGCTACTGATGATGATGGTGCTACTGATGATGATGCTACTGATGATGATGATGCTACTGATGATGATGATGCTACTGATGATGATGATGCTACTGATGATGATGGTGCTACTGATGATGATGCTACTGGTGATGATGATTCTACTGATGATGCTACTGATGATGATGCTACTGGTGATGCTGCTGATTCTGATAATGATGGTGCTGATGATGACGATGATACTACTGATGAAGGTGATGTTGATGGTGATGATGACGATGCTACCGATGATACCGATATTGATGATGATACTGATGATGATCATGGTGCTACTGGTGATTGATTCTGATAATGATGATGCTGATGATGATGATACTACTGATGATGATTATGATGCTACTGATGATGCTGCTGCTACTGGTGATGATGCTGATGACGTTGATGATGCTACTGATGCTGATGATGCTGATGATGCTGATGATGATGATGCTGATGATACTACTGATGATGTTTATGATGCTACTGATGATGCTGCTGCTACTGGTGATGATGCTGATGACGTTGATGATGCTACTGATGCTGATGATGCTGATGATGCTGATGATGATGCTGATGATGATGATACTACTGATGATGTTTATGATGCTACTGATGATGCTGCTGCTACTGATAATGATGCTGATGATGTTGATGCTGATGATGCTGATGATGTTGATGATGCTATTGATGATGATGCTGATGACGTTGATGGTGCTACTGATGATGATGCTACTGATGATGATGATGATGCTACTGATGATGATGATGCTACTGATGATGCTACTGATGTTGATGATGCTACTGATGTTGATGATGCGACTGATGATGCTACTGATGATGATGCTACTGATGATGCTACTGATGTTGATGATGCTACTGATGATGATGCTGCTGATGATGATGATGATGCTGATGATGCTGCTGCTGCTGGTGCAGGAGGAGGTGTCTAAGTATGACAAGATCTGTGAGGAGGCCTACGTGAGGTCAAAAGACAACAAGATCCTACACATCAAACACTGGCTGGACTCACCTTGGCCTGGTGACAGCTGCTTGGCACTCACCACTCACTCACCACTCACTCACCATTCACTCACTCACCACTCACTCACCACTCACTCACTCACCCACCCACTCACTCACTCACACAGACACTCACCCACTCACTCACACACTCACTCACCACTCACTCACCACTCACTCACCATTCACTCACCATTCACTCACTCACCACTCACTCACCACTCACTCACCCACCCACTCACTCACTCACACAGACACTCACCCACTCACTCACACACTCACTCACCCACTCACCACTCACTCACCCACTCACCACTCACTCACTCACCACTCACTCACCACTCACTCACCCACCCACTCACTCACTCACACAGACACTCACCCACTCACTCACACACTCACTCACCACTCACTCACTCACCACTCACTCACTCACCACTCACTCACCACTCACTCACCATTCACTCACTCACCACTCACTCACCACTCACTCACCCACCCACTCACTCACTCACTCACACAGACACTCACCCACTCACTCACACACTCACTCACCACTCACTCACTCACCACTCACTCACCACTCACTCACTCACCACTCACTCACCACTCACTCACTCACCACTCACTCACCCACTCACCCAACACTCACCCAACCACTCACCCACCCACTCACCCACCCACTCTCCCAACCACTCACCCAACCACTCACCCACCCACTCTCCCACCCACTCACCCACTCTCCCACCCACTCACCCACTCACCACTCACCCACTCACTCACCCACTCACTCACCCACTCACCACTCACCCACTCACTCACCCACTCACTCACTCACTCACCCACCTACTCAACCACTCTCCCAACGACTCAATCACTCTCCCACCCACTCACCCACTCATCCACTCACTCACCCACTCACCTACTCACTCACTCACCCACTCACCCACCCACTCACTCACTCACCCACTCACTCACTCACCCACCCACCCACCCACTCACTCACCCACCCACCCACTCACCCACTCACTCACTCACCCACTCACCCATCCATCCACTCACTCACTCACCCACTCACCCACCCACTCACTCACCCACCCTACCACTCACTCACTCACCCACCCACTAACCCAACCACTCACCCATCCACTCTCCCAACCACTCACCCATCCACTCACCCAACCACTCACCCACCCACTCACCCACTCACCCACCCACCCACTCACTCACTCACTCACCCACTCACTCACTCACCCACTCACCCACCCACTCACTCACTCACCCACTCACTCACTCACCCACTCACCCACCCACTCACTCACTCACCCACTCACTCATTCACTCACTCACCCACTCACTCACCCACCCACTCACCCACTCACTCACCCACTCACCCACTCACCCACTCACTCACTCACTCACCCACTCACTCAATCACCCACTCACTCACTCACCCACTCACCCACTCACCCACCCACCCACTCACTCACCCACTCACCCACTCACTCACCCACTCACCCACCCACTCACCCACTCACCCACCCACTCACTCACTCACCCACTCACCCACCCACTCACTCACCCACCCACTCACTCACCCACCCACTCACCCACTCACTCACCCACCCACCCACTCACTCACCCACCCACCCACCCACTCACCCACCCTCCCATCCCACCCCGTCTCTCTACCCCTGCAGGTTTCTTCACGCTGGATGGGAAGCCCAAGACGATGGTGTGTCCACCCACAGGCGTGGAGGAGGACATTCTACGTCACATCGGGGTGCAGGCGAGCTCCCTGAGCCAGGAAGACTTCGTCATCCACGGGGGTGACTACTCCCCGCTCACTCGCATGTCTGTGTCTGTGTGTCTGTGTCTGTGTGTGTGAGTGTGTGTGTGTGAGTGTGTGTATGTGTGTGTGTGTCTGTGTGTGTGAGTGTGTGTGTCTGTGTGTGTGTGTGTCTGTACAGTGTGTGTGTCTGTACAGTGTGTGTGTCTGTACAGTGTGTGTGTCTGTACAGTGTGTGTGTCTGTGTGTGTGTGTGTCTGTGTGTGTGTCTGTGTGTGTGTGTATGTGTGTGTGTGTCTGTGTCTGTGTGTGTCTGTCTGTGTGTGTGTGTCTGTGTGTGTGTCTGTGTGTGTCTGTGTGTGTCTGTGTGTGTGTGTCTGTGTGTGTGTGTGTGTATGTGTGTCTGTGTGTGTGTCTGTGTGTGTGTGTCTGTGTGTGTGTCTGTGTGTGTGAGTGTGTGTGTGTCTGTGTGTGTGAGTGTGTGTCTGTGTGTGTGTGTGTCTGTGTGTGTGTGTGTGTGTCTGTGTGTATGTCTGTCTGTGTGTGTGTCTGTGTGTCTGTGTGTGTGTCTGTGTGTCTGTGTGTGTGTGTCTGTGTGTGTGTCTGTGTGTCTGTGTTTGTGTGTCTGTGTGAGTGTCTGTCTGTGTGTGTGTGTGTCTGTGTGAGTGTCTGTCTGTGTGTGTGTGTGTCTGTGTGTGTGTGTGTCTGTGTGTGTGTCTGTGTGTGTGTCTGTGTCTGTGTGTGTCTGTGTGTGTCTGTGTGTGTCTGTGTGTGTGTCTGTGTGTGTCTCTGTGTGTCTGTGTGTGTGTGTGTCTGTGTGTGTGTGTCTGTGTGTGTGTCTGTGTGTGTGTGTATGTATGTATGTTTGTGTATGTGTATGTGTGTGTATGTGTATGTGTGTGTATGTGTCTGTGTGTATGTGTGTGTGTATATACATATAGGGGAGCGATAGTGTAGCGGTTAGCGCTACGCTGCGCTATGAACCTGGCGACCCGGGTTCGATTCCTGCTCACGGCCATCACCAGTGACGATTATCTGAACCGGTCCCGGGCCTCCTCTAGGTCGACTCAGCCTCAAATGAGTACCTGGTGCGGTGTGTAAACATCGCCACTGGGGGAGACAAAGACGGCCGGGCGGGCGTGGTGCTGGCCACCCACCCCCTCGTGTACCGTTCTGGCCTTCATAGGTGCTCGCTAACAGCACTTGCCCCTACAGTCTGTTAAGGCTATATGGGGGATCTTTGTCTTTTTGTGCGTGTACGTGTGTGTGCATATACGTGTGTGTGTGTGTATATGTGTGTGTGTATGTACGTGTGTGTATATATGTGTGTGTGTACGTGTGTGTATATATGTGTGTGTGTACGTACGTGTGTGTATATGTGTGTGTGTACGTGTGTGTGTATGTGTGTGTGTGTATGTGTGTGTACGTGTGTGTACGTGTGTGTGTGTATGTACGTGTGTGTATATGTACGTGTGTGTGTATGTGTGTGTGTACGTGTGTGTGTATGTACGTGTGTGTGTGTACGTGTGTGTGTGTACGTGTGTACGTACGTGTGTGTATATGTACGTGTGTGTGTACCTGTGTGTGTACGTGTGTATGTGTGTGTGTACGTGTGTGTGTACGTGTGTATATATGTGTGTATATGTGTGTGTACGTGTGTGTATGTACGTGTGTGTATGTATGTATGTACGTGTGTGTATATGTGTATGTGTACGTGTGTATATATGTGTGTACGTGTGTGTGTTTACGTGTGTGTGTATATATGTGTGTATATGTGTATGTGTACGCGTGTGTGTGTACGTGTGTGTGTATGTACGTGTGTGTATACGTGTATGTGTACGTGTGTGTGTGTGTTTACGTGTGTGTATATATGTGTGTGTATGTACGTGTGTGTATACGTGTATGTGTATATATGTGTGTACGTGTGTGTGTGTGTTTACGTGTGTGTATATGTGTGTGTGTACGTGTGTGTACGTGTGTGTGTATGTACGTGTGTGTATATGTGTGTGTGTATGTGTTTGTGTATGTGTGTATATATGTGTATATATGTGTGTGTGTGTGTACTTGTGTGTATGTACGTGTGTGTGTGTATGTACGTGTGTGTATGTGTGTGTATACGTGTTTGTATACGTGTGTGTGTGTACGTGTGTGTGTATACGTGTGTGTGTATACGTGTGTGTGTGTACGTGTGTGTGTATACGTGTGTGTGTATGTGTACGTGTGTGTGTGTACGTGTGTGTTTACGTGTGTATATATGTGTGTATATGTGTATGTGTACGTGTGTGTGTGTACGTGTGTGTGTTTACGTGTGTGTGTGTGTGTACGTGTGTGTGTGTACGTGTGTATATATGTGTGTACGTGTGTGTGTGTACGTGTGTGTGTATATATGTGTATATATGTGTGTACGTGTGTGTACGTGTGTGTGTATGTGTGTGTGTACGTGTGTGTATATATGTGTGTACGTGTGTGTGTGTGTATATGTGTGTGTGTACGTGTGTGTGTGTGTATATGTGTGTGTGTACGTGTGTATATATGTGTATATGTGTGTGTGTACGTGTGTATATATGTTTATATGTGTGTGTGTGTGTGTGTTTACGTGTGTGTGTATATATATGTATATGTGTGTGTGTGTGTACGTGTGTGTGTACGTGTGTGTGTATATATGTGTGTGTGTGTACGTGTGTGTGTATGTACGTGTGTGTATATATGTGTGTGTGTGTACGTGTGTGTGTATATATGTGTGTGTGTGTACGTGTGTGTGTGTGTGTGTATGTGTGTGTGTACGTGTGTATATATGTGTATGTGTGTGTGTATATATGTGTATGTACGTGTGTGTGTGTATGTGTGTATATATGTGTGTATATGTGTGTGTTTACGTGTGTGTGTATATGTGTGTATATATGTATGTGTGTGTATATATGTGTATGTGTGTGTATGTGTACGTGTGTGTGTGTGTACGTGTGTATATATGTGTGTGTGTACGTGTGTGTGTATGTACGTGTGTGTGTGTACGTGTGTGTGTGTGTGTACGTGTGTGTGTGTACGTGTGTATGTACGTGTGTGTGTGTGTGTATATGTGTGTGTACGTGTGTGTATGTGTACGTGTGTGTGTGTGTACGTGTGTGTGTACGTGTGTGTGTGTATACGTGTGTGTACGTGTGTGTGTGTGTGTACGTGTGTATATATGTGTATGTGTATATATGTGTATGTGTGTGTATGTGTACGTGTGTGTGTGTGTACGTGTGTGTGTGTACGTGTGTATATATGTGTGTGTGTACGTGTGTACCTGTGTGTACGTGTGTGTATATGTGTATATATGTGTGTATGTGTGTGTATATGTATATGTATGTGTACGTGTGTGTGTGTGTGTGTACGTGTGTATATATGTGTGTATATGTGTGTGTTTACGTGTGTGTGTGTATATATGTGTGTGTATATGTGTACGTGTGTATATGTATGTGTGTGTTTACGTGTGTGTGTACGTGTGTGTGTGTACGTGTGTATATATGTGTGTGTGTACGTGTGTGTGTGTGTGTGTGCAGGCCTGAAGCGCATCCTGCGTGCCAGAATGGACATGGTGGAGTCTCGCACCGTGGACTGGGCGCTGGCCGAGTACCTGGCCATGGGCTCTCTGCTTGGAGAGGGAACACATGTCAGACTTAGTGGGCAGGACGTGGAGAGGGGCACGTTCAGGTGGGTGGGCGGGTGGGTGGGTGGGTGGGTTGGTGGGTGGGTGGGTGGGTGGGTGAGTGGGTTGGTGAGTGGGTGGGTGAGTGGGTGGGTGGGTGGGTGAGTGGGTTGGTGAGTGAGTGGGTGGGTGAGTGAGTGGGTGGGTGAGTGGGTGGTTGGGTGAGCGGGTGAGTGGGTGGGCGGGTGGGTGAGTGAGTGGGTGGGTGAGTGGGTGAGTGGGTGGGTGGGTGGGTGGGTGAGTGGGTTGGTGAGTGAGTGGGTGGGTGAGTGAGTGGGTGGGTGGGTGAGCGGGTGAGTGGGTGGGCGGGTGGGTGGGCGGGTGGGTGAGTGGGTTGGTGAGTGGGTGGGTGAGTGGGTGGGTGGGTTGGTGAGTGGGTGGGTGAGTGGGTGGGTGGGTGGGTGGGTGGGTTGGTGAGTGGGTGGGTGAGTGGGTGGGTGGGTGGGTGGGTGAGTGGATGGGTGGGTGAGTGGGTGGGTGAGTGGGTGGGTGGGTGGGTGAGTGGGTGGGTGGGTGTGTGGGTTGGTGAGTGGGTGGGTGGGTGGGTGGGTGGGTGGGTTGGTGGGTGGGTGGGTGGGTGGGTGGGTGGGTGGGTGGGTGAGTGGGTGGGTGGGTGAGTGGGTGGGTGAGTGGGTGGGTGGGTGGGTGAGTGGGTGGGTGGGTGGGTGAGTGAGTGGGTGGGTGAGTGAGTGGGTGGTTGGGTGAGCGGGTGAGTGGGTGGGCGGGTGGGTGGGCGGGTGGGTGAGCGGGTTGGTGAGTGGGTGGGTGAGTGGGTGAGTGGGTTGGTGAGTGGGTGGGTGAGTGGGTGGGTGGGTGGGTGGGTGAGTGGGTGGGTGAGTGGGTGGGTGGGTGGGTGAGTGGGTTGGTGAGTGGGTGGGGTGAGTGGGTGGGTGGGTGGGTGAGTGGGTGGGTGGGTGAGTGGGTGGGTGGGTGGGTGGGTGAGTGGGTGGTTGGGTGAGCGGGTGGTTGGGTGAGCGGGTGAGTGGGTGGGCGGGTGGGTGGGCGGGTGGGTGGGTGAGTGCGTGAGCCGGTGGGCGGGTGGGTGGGTGAGTGGGTGGGTGGGTGAGTGGGTGAGTGGGTTGGTGAGTGGGTGGGTGTGTGGGTGAGTGGGTGGGTGAGTGGGTGAGTGAGTGGGTGAGTGGGTGAGTGGGTTGGTGAGTGGGTGAGTGGGTGAGTGAGTGGATGGGTGAGTGGGTGAGTGAGTGGGTGGGTTGGTGAGCGGGTGGGTGAGTGAGTGAGTGGGTGAGTGGGTTGGTGAGCGGGTGGGTGAGTGGGTGGGTGAGTGGGTGGGTGAGTGGGTGGGTGAGTGGGTGAGTGGGTTGGTGAGTGGGTGAGTGGGTGAGTGAGTGGATGGGTGAGTGGGTGAGTGGGCGAGTGAGTGGGTGGGTTGGTGAGCGGGTGGGTGAGTGAGTGAGTGAGTGGGTGAGTGGGTTGGTGAGCGGGTGGGTGGGTGGGTGGGTGAGTGAGTGGGTGAGTGAGTAGATGGGTGAGTGGGTGAGCCGGTGGGTGGGTGCGTTGGTGAGCGGGTGGGTGAGCGAGTGGGTGAGCGAGTGGATGAGTGAGTGGATGGGTGAGTGGGTGAGCCGGTGGGTGGGTTGGTGAGCGGGTGGGTGAGTGGGTGGGTGAGTGGGTGAGCCGGTGGGTGGGTGAGTGGGTGGGTGGGTGGGTGAGTGAGTAGATGGGTGAGTGGGTGAGCCGGTGGGTGGGTGGGTGGGTTGGTGAGCGGGTGGGTGGGTTGGTGAGTGGTTGGGTGAGTGAGTGGGTGAGTGAGTGGATGGGTGAGTGGGTGAGCCGGTGGGTGGGTGGGTGGGTTGGTGAGCGGGTGGGTGAGCGGGTGGGTGAGCGGGTGGGTGGGTTGGTGAGCGGGTGGGCGGGTGAGCGGGTGGGCGGGTGGATTAGTGTGTGGGTGGGTGAGTGGGAGACGGGGAGGGAGAGAGAGGGGGGAGAAAGGGGTAGATGTATGGTGTGTGGTGTGTGGTGTATGGTGTGTGGTGTGTGGTGTATGGTGTGTGTGTGATGATCTCTCTTTGTTTATATTTATATATGTCTCCCCCTTGTGTCTCTCTCCCATTGTCTCTCTCTCCCCGTGTGTCTCTGTGTGTGTGTCTCTCTGTGTCTCTCTGTGTGTCTCTGTGTGGCTGTGTCTCTCTTTCCCTGTCTCTCTCCCCGTGTCTCTCTCTCCCCGTGTGTCTCTGTGTGTCTCCCCGTGTCTCTCTGTGTGTGTCTCTCTCTGTGTCTCTCTGTCTCTCTCTGTGTGTGTGTCTCCGTGTCTGTCTCTGTGTGTGTGTCTCTCTCTGTGTGTCTCTCTCTGTGTGTCTGTGTGTGTCTCTCTGTGTGTCTCTCTCTGTGTGTCTCTCTCTGTGTGTCTCTCTGTGTCTCCCCGTGTCTCTCTGTCTCTCTGTGTGTGTGTGTCTCTCTCTGTGTCTCTCTGTGTCTCTCTGTGTGTGTGTCTCCGTGTCTGTCTCTGTGTGTGTGTCTCTCTCTGTGTGTGTGTCTCTCTCTGTCTCTCTCTGTCTCTCTGTGTGTTTGTGTCTCCGTGTCTGTCTCTGTGTGTGTGTGAGTAGCCACCGTCACCACGTTCTGCACGACCAGAATGTGGACAAGCGAATCCTCGTCCCCATGAATCACCTGTGGCCAAACCAGGCTCCCTACACCGTCTGTAACAGCTCTCTGAGTGAATACGGAGTGCTAGGTATAAGGCACTACCACTACCACCACTCGCTCTGTCTACACCGTGTGTAACGGCTCTCTGAGTGAATACGGAGTGCTAGGTGTAAGGCACTACCACTACCACCACTCGCTTTGTCTACACCGTGTGTAACGGCTCTCTGAGTGAATACGGAGCGCTAGGTATAAGGCACTACCACTACCACCACTCGCTCTGTCTACACCGTGTGTAACGGCTCTCTGAGTGAATACGGAGCGCTAGGTGTAAGGCACTACCACTACCACCACTCGCTCTGTCTACACCGTGTGTAACGGCTCTCTGAGTGAATACGGAGTGCTAGGTGTAAGGCACTACCACTACCACCACTCGCTCTGTCTACACCGTGTGTAGCGGCTCTCTGAGTGAATACGGAGCGCTAGGTGTAAGGCACTACCACTACCACCACTCGCTCTGTCTACACCGTGTGTAACGGCTCTCTGAGTGAATACGGAGTGCTAGGTGTAAGGCACTACCACTACCACCACTCGCTCTGTCTACACCGTGTGTAACGGCTCTCTGAGTGAATACGGAGTGCTAGGTGTAAGGCACTACCACTACCACCACTCGCTCTGTCTACACTGTGTGTAACGGCTCTCTGAGTGAATACGGAGTGCTAGGTGTAAGGCACTACCACTACCACCAGTCGCTCTGTCTACACCGTGTGAGTGAATACGGAGTGCTAGGTGTAAGGCACTACCACTACCACCACTCGCTCTGTCTACACCGTGTGTAACGGCTCTCTGAGTGAATACGGAGTGCTAGGTGTAAGGCACTACCACTACCACCACTCGCTCTGTCTACACCGTGTGTAACGGCTCTCTGAGTGAATACGGAGTGCTAGGTGTAAGGCACTACCACTACCACCACTCGCTCTGTCTACACCGTGTGAGTGAATACGGAGTGCTAGGTGTAAGGCACTAACACTACCACCACTCGCTTTGTCTACACCGTGTGTAACGGCTCTCTGAGTGAATACGGAGCGCTAGGTGTAAGGCACTACCACTACCACCACTCGCTCTGTCTACACCGTGTGTAACGGCTCTGTGAGTGAATACGGAGTGCTAGGTGTAAGGCACTACCACTACCACCACTCGCTTTGTCTACACCGTGTGTAACGGCTCTCTGAGTGAATACGGAGTGCTAGGTGTAAGGCACTACCACTACCACCACTCGCTTTGTCTACACCGTGTGTAACGGCTCTCTGAGTGAATACGGAGTGCTAGGTGTAAGGCACTACCACTACCACCACTCGCTCTGTCTACACCGTGTGTAACGGCTCTCTGAGTGAATACGGAGTGCTAGGTGTAAGGCACTACCACTACCACCACTCGCTCTGTCTACACCGTGTGTAACGGCTCTGTGAGTGAATACGGAGTGCTAGGTGTAAGGCACTACCACTACCACCACTCGCTCTGTCTACACCGTGTGAGTGAATACGGAGCGCTAGGTGTAAGGCACTACCACTACCACCACTCGCTCTGTCTACACCGTGTGTAACGGCTCTCTGAGTGAATACGGAGCGCTAGGTGTAAGGCACTACCACTACCACCACTCGCTCTGTCTACACCGTCTGTAACGGCTCTCTGAGTGAATACGGAGTGCTAGGTGTAAGGCACTACCACTACCACCACTCGCTCTGTCTACACCGTGTGTAACGGCTCTCTGAGTGAATACGGAGCGCTAGGTGTAAGGCACTACCACTACCACCACTCGCTCTGTCTACACCGTGTGTAACGGCTCTGTGAGTGAATACGGAGTGCTAGGTGTAAGGCACTACCACTACCACCACTCGCTTTGTCTACACCGTGTGAGTGAATACGGAGTGCTAGGTGTAAGGCACTACCACTACCACCACTCGCTCTGTCTACACCGTGTGTAACGGCTCTGTGAGTGAATACGGAGCGCTAGGTGTAAGGCACTACCACTACCACCACTCGCTTTGTCTACACCGTGTGTAACGGCTCTGTGAGTGAATACGGAGCGCTAGGTGTAAGGCACTACCACTACCACCACCCTCTCCCTTCTCACCCCCCCGCTCCCCAGGGTTTGAGTTGGGTTTCGCCATGGCCAACCCCAACGCGCTGGTGCTGTGGGAGGCTCAGTTTGGGGACTTCCACAACACGGCCCAGGCCATCATCGACCAGTTCATCTGCTGCGGTCAGGCCAAATGGGTGCGCCAGAATGGCATCGTCCTGCTGCTCCCCCACGGCATGGAGGGAATGGTACGGTCCACTACATTCACACACACACGCACAGGTAACGTAACCCCCCCCCACGGCATGGGGGGAATGGTACGGTCCACTACATTCACACACACACACAGGTAATGTAACCCCCCCCCCCCCCCCCCCCACGGCATGGAGGGAATGGTACGGTCCACTACATTCACACACACACACAGGTAACATAACCCCCCCCCCCCCACGGCATGGAGGGAATGGTACGGTCCCCTACATTCACACACACACACAGGTAATGTAACCCCCCCCCCCCCCCCCCCCCCCCCCCACGGCATGGAGGGAATGGTACGGTCCACTACATTCACACACACACAGGCAACGTAACCCCCCCCCACGGCATGGGGGGAATGGTACGGTCCACTACATTCACACACACACAGGTGACGTAACCCCCCCACGGCATGGAGGGAATGGTACGGTCCACTACATTCACACACACAGGTAACGTAACCCCCCCACGGCATGGAGGGAATGGTACGGTCCACTACATTCACACACGTAACATAACCCCCCCACGGCATGGAGGGAATGGTACGGTCCACTACATTTATAACTTACCCGTAACATAACCCCCCCCCCCCCCCACGGCATGGATAGAATGGTACGGTCCACTACATTCACACACGTAACATAACCCCCCCCCCCCCCACGGCATGGAGGGAATGGTATGGTCCACTACATTCACACACGTAACATAACCCCCCCCACGGCATGGAGGGAATGGTACGGTCCACTACATTCACACACGTAACATAACCCCCCCACGGCATGGAGGGAATGGTACGGTCCACTACATTCACACACGTAACATAACCCCCCCACGGCATGGAGGGAATGGTACGGTCCACTACATTCACACACGTAACATAACCCCCCCCACGGCATGGAGGGAATGGTACGGTCCACTACATTCACACACACACACAGGTAACGTAACCCCCCCACGGCATGGAGGGAATGGTACGGTCCACTACATTCACACACACAGGCAACGTAACCCCCCCACAGCATGGAGGGAATGGTACGGTCCACTACATTCACACACACACAGGTGACGTAACCCCCCCACGGCATGGGCGGAATGGTACGGTCCACTACATTCACACACGTAACATAACCCCCCCACGGCATGGAGGGAATGGTACGGTCCACTACATTCATAACTTACACGTAACATAATCCCCCTACGGCATGGAGGGAATGGTACGGTCCACTACATTCACACCCACACAGGTAACATAACCCCCCCACGGCATGGAGGGAATGGTACGGTCCACTACATTCATAACTTACACGTAACATAATCCCCCTACGGCATGGAGGGAATGGTATGGTCCACTACATTCACACACACACACAGGTAACATAACCCCCCCCACGGCATGGAGGGAATGGTATGGTCCACTACATTCATAACTTACCCGTAACATAACCCCCCCCCACGGCATGGATAGAATGGTACGGTCCACTACATTCACACGTAACATAACCCCCCCACGGCATGGAGGGAATGGTACGGTCCACTACATTCACACACGTAACATAACTCCCCCCACGGCATGGAGGGAATGGTACGGTCCACTACATTAATAACTTACACGTAACATAACCCCCCCCACGGCATGGAGAGAATGGTACGGTCCACTACATTCACACACCTAACATAACCCCCCCCACGGCATGGAGGGAATGGTACGGTCCACTACATTCACTCACACACACACAGGCAACATAACCCCCCCACGGCATGGAGGGAATGGTACGGTCCACTATATTCACACACAGTTAACATAACCCCCCCCCCCCCCCACGGCATGGAGGGAATGGTACGGTCCACTACATTCACACGTAACATAACCCCCCCCACGGCATGGAGGGAATGGTACGGTCCACTACATTCACACACACAGGCAACATAACCCCCCCACGGCATGGAGGGAATGGTATGGCCCACTACATTCACACACGTAACATAACCCCCCACGGCATGGAGGGAATGGTACGGTCCACTACATTCACACGTAACATAACCCCCCCACGGCATGGAGGGAATGGTACGGTCCACTACATTCACTCACACACACACAGGCAACATAACCCCCCCACGGCGTGGAGGGAATGGTACGGTCCACTACATTCACACAGGCAACATAACCCCCCCACGGCATGGAGGGAATGGTACGGTCCACTACATTCACACACGTAACATAACCCCCCCACGGCATGGAGGGAATGGTACGGTCCACTACATTCACACACGTAACATAACCCCCCCACGGCATGGAGGGAATGGTACGGTCCACTACATTCACACACGTAACATAACTCCCCCCACGGCATGGAGGGAATGGTACGGTCCACTACATTCACACACACGTGACATAACCCCCCCACGGCATGGAGGGAATGGTACGGTCCCCTACATTCACACACAGTTAACATAACCCCCCCCACGGCATGGAGGGACTGGTACAGTCCACTACATTCACACGTAACATAACCCCCCCACGGCATGGAGGGAATGGTACGGTCCACTACATTCACACGTAACTTAACCCCCCCACGGCATGGAGGGAATGGTACGGTCCACTACATTCATAACTTTACACGTAACTTAACCCCCCCCCTACCTCCACGGCATGGTATGGTCCACTCCATTCATCACACGTGTAACATAACCCCCCCTCCCGCATAGAGGACATGGTATAGTCCACCCCGCCTGTGTGCTGCTACTCGCTACTACTAACAGCACTTGCCCCTCGAGTCCGTTAAGAGGCTAAAGGGGAGACCTTTACCTTTGTATTTGTGGCATCAGGGCCCAGAGCATTCATCAGCCCGGCCGGAGAGATTCCTGCAGATGTGTAATGATGATCCTGACTCAGTACCGGTGAGTGTCACTCACCACTCACTCACCACTACTACTCACCACTCACTCACCACTCACTCACTCACCACCCACTCACTCACTCAGATGTGTAATGATGATCCTGACTCTGTACCGGTGAGTGTCACTCACCACTCACTCACCACTACTACTCACCACTCACTCACTCACCACTCACTCACTCACCACTCACTCACTCACTCAGATGTGTAATGATGATCCTGACTCTGTACCGGTGAGTGTCACTCACCACTCGCAAAAACACTCACCACTCACTCACTCACACACTCACACACACACTCACCCATCCACTCACCACTCACACACTCACACACACACTCACTCACTCACTCACCCACCACTCACCCACTCACACACTCACTCACCCACTCACTCACTCACCACCCACTCACACACTCACTCACCCATCTACTCACCACTCACTCACTCACCCACCACTCACTCACTCACCCACCACTCACTCACACACTCACTCACCCACTCACTCACTCACCCACCACTCACTCACACACTCACTCACCCACCACTCACTCACCCATCCACTCACTCACTCACACACACACTCACACACACACTCACCCACCACTCACTCACTCACCACCCACTCACTCACTCACACACACACTCACCCACCACTCACTCACTCACCCATCCACTCACCACTCACTCACTCACCCACCACTCGCAAAAACACTCACCACTCACTCACACACTCACTCACCCATCCACTCACCCACTCACACACTCACTCACCCACTCACTCACTCACTCACCACTCACTCACCACCCACTCACACACTCACACACTCACTCACCACTCACTCACCCACTCACTCACCACTCGCAAAAACACTCACCACTCACTTACACACTCACTCACTCACCACTCACTCACTCACCACTCACTCACTCACTCACCCACTCACTCACTCACTCACCCACTCACTCACTCACCCATCTACTCACCACTCACTCACTCACTCACCCACTCACTCACCCACTCACACACTCACTCACCCACCACTCACTCACTCACTCACCCACCACTCACTCACCACTCGCAAAAACACTCACCACTCACTCACCACTCACTCACTCACCCACTCACTCACTCACTCACCCACCACTCACTCACTCACCCACCACTCACTCACTCACCCACCACTCACTCACCCATCCACTCACCACTCACTCACCCACTCACTCACTCACTAACCCACTCACTCACCCACTCACTCACTCACCCATCTACTCACCACTCACTCACTCACCACTCACTCACTCACTCACCCATCTACTCACCACTCACTCACTCACCACTCACTCACTCACCCATCTACTCACCACTCACTCACTCACTCACCACTCACTCACCACTCACTCACTCACCCACTCACCACTCACTCACTCACTCACCCACTCACTCACCCACTCACCACTCACTCACCACTCACTCACCACTCACTCACTCACCACTCACTCACCACTCACTCACTCACTCACCCATCTACTTACTCACCACTCACTCACCACTCACTCACCACTCACTCACCCACTCACCACTCACTCACCCACCCACTCACTCACTCACCCACCCACTCACTCACTCACCCACTCACTCACTCACTCACCACTCACTCACCACTCACTCACTCACCACTCACCCACTCACTACTCACTCACCCACTCAACCCACTCACCACTCACTCACCACTCACTCACCACTCACTCACCCACTCACCCACTCACCACTCACTCACCCACTCACCACTCACTCACCCATCAACTTACTCACCAACCCACTCACTCCTCACCCACTTATCTACCGACCCACACACTCACTCACTCATCCACTCACCCACTCACCACTCACTCACCCACTCACCACTCACTCACCCACTCACCACTCACTCACCCATCAACTTACTCACCAACCCACTCACTCCTCACCCACTTATCCACCGACCCACACACTCACTCACTCATCCACTCACCCACTCACCACTCACTCACCCACTCACCACTGACTCACTCACTCACCACTCACTCACCAGTCACTCACCACCCACTCACCCACTCACCCACTCACCACTCACTCACCACTCACTCACCCATCAACTTACTCACCAACCCACTCACTCCTCACCCACTTATCCACCGACCCACACACTCACTCACTCATCCACTCACTCACTCACTCATCCACTCACCCACTCACCCATCAACTTACTCACCAACCCACTCACTCCTCACCCACTTATCCACCGACCCACACACTCACTCACTCACTCACCACTCACTCACCCACTCACCACTCACTCACCCATCAACTTACTCACCAACCCACTCACTCCTCACCCACTTATCCACCAACCCACTCACTCACTCATCCACTCATGCACCCAGCCACCACCCGCTTAGTCACTCAGTCACTCACTCAGTCACTCACTCACCCACCCACTCACTCACCCACTCACCACCCGCTTAGTCACTCAGTCACTCACTCAGTCACTTACTCACCCACTCACCACCCGCTTAGTCACTCAGTCACTCACTCAGTGACTCACTCACCCACCCACTCACCCACTCACCACTCGCTTAGTCACTCAGTCACTGCTGATGATGATGATGGCACTGATGATAATGATACTGATGATGATGACTCTGCTGATGATGACACTGCTGCTGATGATGATGACACTGCTGCTGATGATGATGACACTGATGATGATAATGATGACACTGATGATGGTGATGACACTGCTGATGATGGTGACACTGATGATGATGATGACACTGCTGATGATGATGACACTGCTGATGATGATGACACTGCTGATGATGATGATGACACTGATGATGATGACACTGATGATGATGACACTGCTGATGATGACACTGATGATGACACTGATGATGATGATGACACTGCTGATGATGACACTGCTGCTGATGATGATGATGACACTGCTGCTGCTGATGATGATGACACTGCTGCTGATGATGATGATGACACTGCTGATGATGATGATGACACTGATGATGACACTGATGATGATGATGACACTGCTGTTGCTGATGATGATGACACTGCTGCTGATGATGATGACACTGATGATGATGACACTGCTGCTGATGATGAGGATGACACTGATGATGAGGATGACACTGATGATGATGATGACACTGCTGTTGCTGATGATGATGATGATGACACTGCTGCTGATGATGATGATGACACTGATGATGATGATGTTGACACTGCTGCTGCTGCTGATGATGATGATGACGACACTGCTGTTGCTGATGATGATGACACTGCTGCTGATGATGATGATGACACTGCTGCTGATGATGATGATGACACTGATGATGATGATGACACTGCTGCTGATGATGATGACTGCTGCTGATGATGATGACACTGCTGCTGTTGCTGATGATGATGACACTGCTGCTGATGATGATGACTGCTGCTGATGATGATGACACTGCTGCTGATGATGATGACACTGCTGCTGCTGATGATGATGATGATGACACTGATGATGATGACACTGCTGCTGATGATGATGACACTGCTGATGATGATGATGATGACACTGATGATGATGACACTGCTGCTGCTGATGAAGATGATGATGACACTGATGATGATGACACTGCTGCTGCTGCTGACTGCAGAACGTGACAGAGGAACTCGCCACCCGTCAGCTTCACGACTGCAACTGGATCGTGGTCAACTGCTCCACGCCCGCCAACTACTTCCACGCCCTGCGACGGCAGATCCTGCTGCCATTCCGCAAGCCGGTCAGACACACAGAGAGACACAGAGACAGAGACACAGAGACACACACAGACACACAGAGACACACACACAGAGAGACACAGAGACACAGAGACACACACACACAGAGACACACAGACACACAGAGACACACAGAGAGACACAGATACACACAGATACACACACAGAGACACACACAGAGAGACACACACACAGAGAGACACACACACAGAGAGACACAACTACTTCCACGCCCTGCGGCGGCAGATCCTGCTGCCATTCCGCAAGCCGGTCAGAGACACAGAGACACACACAGAGAGACACACACAGAGAGACACACACAGAGACACACAGAGAGACACACACACACAGAGACACACACACAGAGAGACACAACTACTTTCACGCCCTGCGACGGCAGATCCTGCTGCCATTCCGCAAGCCGGTCAGAGACACAGAGACACACACAGAGAGACACACACAGAGAGACACACACAGAGACACACAGAGAGACACACACACACAGAGACACACACACAGAGAGACACAACTACTTCCACGCCCTGCGACGGCAGATCCTGCTGCCATTCCGCAAGCCGGTCAGACACACACAGAGACACACAGAGACACACAGAGAGACACAGAGACACACACAGAGACACACACAGAGACACATACAGAGACACACACAGATACACACACAGAGAGACACAGAGACACACACACAGAGAGACACAACTATTTCCACGCCCTGCGACGGCAGATCCTGCTGCCATTCCGCAAGCCGGTCAGACACACAGAGACACAGAGACACAGAGACACAGACACAGAGATACACACACACAGATACACACAGATACACACAGATACACACACAGAGAGACACACACACAGAGAGACACACACACAGAGAGACACACACACAGAGAGACACAGAGACACACACACAGAGAGACACAACTACTTCCACGCCCTGCGACGGCAGATCCTGCTGCCATTCCGCAAGCCGGTCAGAGACACACAGAGACACACAGAGACACAGAGACACACAGAGAGACACAGAGACACACACACAGAGAGACACAGACACACAGAGACACACAGAGACACACAGAGACACACAGAGAGACACAGAGACACACAGAGACACACAGAGACACACAGAGACACACAGAGACACACAGAGACACACAGAGACACACAGAGAGACACAGAGACACACAGAGACACACAGAGACACACACACAGAGACACACACAGAGAGACACACACACAGAGAGACACACACACAGAGAGACACAACTACTTCCACGCCCTGCGGCGGCAGATCCTGCTGCCATTCCGCAAGCCGGTCAGAGACACAGAGACACACACAGAGAGACACACACAGAGAGACACACACAGAGACACACAGAGAGACACACACACACAGAGACACACACACAGAGAGACACAACTACTTTCACGCCCTGCGACGGCAGATCCTGCTGCCATTCCGCAAGCCGGTCAGAGACACAGAGACACACACAGAGAGACACACACAGAGAGACACACACAGAGACACACAGAGAGACACACACACACAGAGACACACACACAGAGAGACACAACTACTTCCACGCCCTGCGACGGCAGATCCTGCTGCCATTCCGCAAGCCGGTCAGACACACACAGAGACACACAGAGACACACAGAGAGACACAGAGACACACACAGAGACACACACAGAGACACATACAGAGACACACACAGATACACACACAGAGAGACACAGAGACACACACACAGAGAGACACAACTATTTCCACGCCCTGCGACGGCAGATCCTGCTGCCATTCCGCAAGCCGGTCAGACACACAGAGACACAGAGACACAGAGACACACACACAGAGAGAGACACACACAGATACACACAGAGACACACAGATACACACACAGAAAGACACACACAGAGAGACACACACACAGAGAGACACACACACAGAGAGACACAGAGACACACACACAGAGAGACACAACTACTTCCACGCCCTGCGACGGCAGATCCTGCTGCCATTCCGCAAGCCGGTCAGAGACACACAGAGACACACAGAGACACAGAGACACACAGAGAGACACAGAGACACACACACAGAGAGACACAGACACACAGAGACACACAGAGACACACAGAGACACACAGAGAGACACAGAGACACACAGAGACACACAGAGACACACAGAGACACACAGAGACACACAGAGACACACAGAGAGACACAGAGACACACAGAGACACACAGAGACACACACACAGAGACACACACAGAGAGACACACACACAGAGAGACACACACACAGAGAGACACAACTACTTCCACGCCCTGCGGCGGCAGATCCTGCTGCCATTCCGCAAGCCGGTCAGAGACACACAGAGACACACAGAGACACAGAGACACACAGAGAGACACAGAGACACACACACAGAGAGACACAGACACACAGAGACACACAGAGACACACAGAGACACACAGAGAGACACAGAGACACACAGAGACACACAGAGACACACACACAGAGACACACACAGAGAGACACACACACAGAGAGACACACACACAGAGAGACACAACTACTTCCACGCCCTGCGGCGGCAGATCCTGCTGCCATTCCGCAAGCCGGTCAGAGACACACAGAGACACACAGAGACACAGAGACACACAGAGAGACACAGAGACACACACACAGAGAGACACAGACACACAGAGACACACAGAGACACACAGAGACACACAGAGAGACACAGAGACACACAGAGACACACAGAGACACACACACAGAGACACACACAGAGAGACACACACACAGAGAGACACACACACAGAGAGACACAACTACTTCCACGCCCTCCGGCGGCAGATCCTGCTGCCATTCCGCAAGCCGGTCAGACACACAGAGACACACAGAGACACAGATACACACAGAT